ATCATCCCCTCAGGATCGATGAGATGGTCAGGTCGCACTGCGGCAATCTTTTTGAGAAAATTTGTTTCTTTCAAAAGCTCACGTGCCATGTTCGTGGCATCATCTTCCTCTTCTTCACCACCGGTCATTGCAACCCAGCTGTGCATGAACTGTAGGGGAAGCAATGTAACATCCTTCAAAGCTTCCGAGGATGTCATCGGCATCAAATCAAGGATGCTCTTCAAGGTTGCCCTGTGTCGTAGCATAGAAATGGCGCTAATAGAAGGATGCGAGAGCAGCTCCTCTTGAAAGTTTCCAACCAGACTACTGGCAAAGAACATTGCGGATGCCACCATAGTGCGATCTTCTTCTTTGTAGCTCAATCCAAACTTTGCCGCAACTGCGAATGCCAAGTTGGGTCTTTTCTCCATGTTCTTTTTCGTGTGGCCCAGGCACATCGCACCAAGCTCTTCCAAGTCGTAATAGTCGGCTGCCACCAATACATCCAACATCGTGTCCATCTCCATTGGCGTCATCTGGGAGGGTTGCAATATCGGGATACACCCCAGATGGCAGTAGTACTTGACCGTTTCAATGACATTCGAGGAGAATCTGGGACACACTAGACCCTTTTTTGGGTCAAAGTCATCGCCACCGAGCATCTCATCAAATACCTCGCTCGCAACGCGCAACATGTAGCTTTGACACTTGACTTGTTTGCCATCGCTGCAATAAATAGTCAGATCATTTAATCGATCATTGTCAATGTTCTTGCGATGCTTGGCAGCATGGCTTTCGTACCGGACGGTTCTCCATTTCCACGCACCGCCCTTCTTGGATGGCTTTGCCACTGCATGAGAAGACAGCGAGCCTGAGATTCCGAAGCGAGATCCGCGTGTTGACATGATGATACTGTAGGCGAGCGAGTTGAAAACGTGGTCCCAGTGCCGCAGAAGAAGAAAACGAGATTCTATTCTATGCTTTATTGCTTTGTGGCAAAAGTCACACGCAGCTACCTCTAGAGAGGAACGTGTGAAACAGCGTGGGCTTCCCTCGAAGAGTCCACGCCACATCTCGTATCTCTGCCTTCGGTAATGTGAACTGCCTATGACAAGCTGTGACGGTATATATTGCAACGTGGGAAACATCGTTCTGTGTGATGATGATGGGCTTTGGCCTGGCCACCGTGAAGGTTTCCCACGTTTGCAGTCTCCACGTTCTCAGGATACTTCCACGATGCAGTCACGTGTGCAAATGACTGAACCCCACCCCCACGGCAGCAGGCAGCATCGACGCATCGACAACGACGATGGCGGTGCCGATCATGGACGAGATGCTGATTCAATCATTCGATGGAGCTAGTACCGGTAGTAGAGTCCTGGTAGCGTGTGGGCACTTCGGCTCCGTCCTTGGATGATCATCCTTCATTGACACGGCAAAGCAATCATGGACGAGGCAATGAAGAAGAATGAAATGACGACGGGAATATCATACTATCTTCTATTTAGCAGCAACCAAAATTCTACGACTAGTCGAGAAAGAACCGAGGAGGAAGAGAACCAACCGTTGACATTTTGGGGAGAGGACGAATGGACCCCCCAAGAAGAGGCAGAGGCTGAAACCGTCCTTCAGCAGTCACGAGAACGATGTAGCATTCGTAGCAATGGCGTGTCCAAAAGACCGAATGCTGTGGAGGACGAACAAGCCTGGAACAGATTCTACAGCCAACACCAGACCAACTTTTTCAAAGATCGCCATTATCTACACAAGGCGTTTCCGCACGAGTTTTCTTCCACAGCAGAAGGTTCGACATCAACGAAACGAACTCTGGTGGAAATAGGCTGTGGCGTGGGAAATGCCCTACTGCCTCTTCTGGAAAGCAATAATGACACTGCTGCAACAACAATATCACAGAACACCAAGGATGTCGAATGGACCGTTTATGGATTGGACTTGAGCAAAGTCGCCATTGACTGGCTCCAACAAGACGAACGATTCATCCAAGCTGCCAAACAAGGCCGAGCGCATGCATTTGTCTGCGATATTTCTGCCAGTTCCCTCCCCAACACCAGCTTGCTACCGGTTGGAGTGGCCAATGTTAGCACATTGCTGTTTTGTTTGTCCGCCATTTGCCCGGGAGAACGCATGGTTCAGGCCGTGCGCAATGTGGCGAGCACCCTCCAACCCAACAACGGGGTTCTGGTGTTTCGGGACTATGGTCGCTACGACGAAGCGCAAATGAAACTGGGGACCAGCCGCAACAAGGGACTGGAAGAGGACAATTTCTACCGTAAACACGATGGTACAAAATGCTACTATTTTACATTAGAAGACGTGCGAGACTTGTTTGAGACTCAAGCAGGTCTTGCGGTCTTGGAACTAAAGTACTTGCGACGAGTGTATCGGAATCGATCCACCAACGAGGTTCGTCGGAGAGTGTGGGTTCAAGGAAGGTTCCGGAAAGTCGAAGAGTGATTTGATTCATTCATTCGATACCAGTAGTAGGGACTCATGGCTCATCGTTGTGATGATCCAATGCTTTTCATTTTGCGGAAGATTGTGGTCGATGCTATGTATGTTGCACAGAACAACAAAACAGGGACTTTAGAGATCACTGCTCGGACAGGAGAACGATCAGTGACGTGGAAAATTGCTGGAGTGTTTCGTTGGGGATATTGCTCAGTCGTTCTTCACTCTGGCCACCAACCTCCTCTATCCATAATTCTTGAACACTGCTTTGTCCTTCCAGTCTTCTATCCAACCTTCCTCACCTGGTTCAAATTTTGGTTGGGGGTCATCAAACCATGGGGCTCTCAGTGCTTTGAGTTTTGCCTCGTCAACAGAGTTGTCAGAGGCTCCAACAACAGAGTAGCGGTATGCTTGGTAGTACTTTTTGCCCTGTTCGTCTTCCACTATTTCCCTGACTCTGTTGGCATCCTTGAGCATTTGCTGGCGCTTGTGTTTGAGGAAAAGACGACCCCATCCTTCCTCAAAGGTGGCATTCTGGAATTTGGGACTTGCAATGTAGCTCTCAATGGCATCCAAAATTTCCTGCCGACTGGTGACACTTGCCAAGTTGTGCACAAATACAACTGGCATGCCCTCAAAGAGACGGTGACTTAGGATATCCTGGTCCTCCACAACTGGGATGACACCCAACAAAAACATCTCATAAGTTCGGTAGCAGTCAAACCCCATTCCCGGAGGACTAACACCAAAGCGAAATTGGCTCATTTCCTTGTAGATGTCATGAGTTTTAATTTTTTCAGTTTCCTGATTGCACGAAATTTTGTCTGTGGCAAAGGTGGGGCAGAGTACCCTCCACAAATCCTTGCGAGGTAAAGTGCGAACACCAAAATGAACAAAGACATCCTTATTGAAATCCAGTTTGTTCTTGGAAAGGTCCCATTTGGATTTGTCCAGGAATGGGTTGATAAAGTGGTTCAACTTCAGGTAGGGAAGTAGATTGCGTTCATGGGGGTGTTGGAAGGATAGTCCCAGGTTGAGCGGTTCAAATTTGTGAACATTCTCCCGAAAGTCGGTGTGGGTTCTGTAGATTGGATTGGTTCCATACCACTTGATCAAGAGTGGATCTTTGATGTACTCCTCATACACGTTCGGAGCGTCTCCATCAGAGCCAGTGGTGGAGATAATGTAGGGCACCTTGATGTTTGGCCGGTATTCATGAAAGAATCCAACTGTGAGATCGTTGTGATTTTCGATACCAATAATGGTTCCCGGTACAATGCAAGGCAACATGGCCTTGTCCAGGGTTCTGGCAAAGTAGTACAAGTGGTCTGGCTGCATTTTGTCGGCTTGAATTCTGCCATGTGGGAGCACCAGATCTGACAATTCAATACCATCTCGAGTATTGATGAGTTGATGGTCATCCTGGTCCAGTGAAATTGCCACTGTTTCCACACAGCATGTTTCTTTGCACTTTTTTCGACGTGGCAACCATGGCGCCCGTTCCACTAGTGTTGCCCGATGAAAGGCGCTCCAGCTATTCTCTTGTCTGTGACCATCTGGCATAGGATGTTTCTTGGATGCCTTTTCTACTTCATCCTGCAATTCCACGTATTTGCGATACTTGTACTGGGGCTTGTTGTTGCTGTTGTCATTGTTGTCTCCTGTTCGCAGCAGATTCGTAGTGGAAGCCGAGCTGTTTGCGCCTGGAAATGAAAGCTCGAACGACTGTGGCATGGTACTTTGGATCATGGCCATGAGCTCATTGGTACTGGTGGCTTCAAAGGACCCTCTTTGCGCCAACCTCATTATGGTCAAGGACGGCAACAGAACGGCCAAAATTCGAAGCGCCATCTTTGCCGTGAACAACAAAGACGGATTCTCTCTGGATTGGGCTGCCGCGGCTCGAAGGCGCTTTCGAGCGTGGTTCCTTGCCATCTTTTTAATAGCAATATTCCTTTGAGCTAGCTGGAAGGTCAGACTGTGAGGCTCGTGTTGACGAGTTGTGGGAGGAAAATAGAAATTTGGAGACAGCTGGAGGGCCCAAATTTGGCGTTGGGTGTTTCACGGGGTCATGGGAAAAAATGAGGATGACCCAAAAAGCCCCGTACCGGTACCGGTACCGGTACCCTCATCCATTATCCCAAAAGCTCACCAGCGACATCTCTAGCTAGAGCTAGAAGACGCTACCTACAGTATTTGCTGGCTATGGAATACGTCATGCTCCGGCGAAACAGTTTATCACCGGAATGAATGATGAGGAGTGATGCACAGCATCATACCCAAGTAGATTTCCAGACAAGTCTCGTGCGTAGACGACTGTGAAAGGATAGAGTCGCCAAGCCCAATCGGGACCTCAGCAAATCTGGATTGATTTGGTTGGCACAGATGCACGGTGGATATTGACACCTTCAACTGCATGTATCATAGCTGTGGAGCTGTATGGGTGCCTGACTGCACTTCCACAGGCCTGCTATGCTATCTTGAACCAAGGCCAGAAAGCAATAATAATGGACCTGAGCCCTGCTAATGGTGCATCGTACCGTGCAGAGAGGGGAGGATTGGATTGTTATAGTACCTTTAGACTAACTAGCTGGCTAGTAGTACTTCCAGCAAATTGTCGACTCTAGGCTATGTCCAATAATAAGATGAAGGTAGGTGGATGAAGAAAGAATTCATCATTTACTCTTCTGGTTGTCCTGCCACACTGACGAGGTTAATGCAGTATCTGTTTCCAGTTTTATCAGGGAGGTTGTGACCAAGGTGTGTCTGAAATTTCGAGTAGAAAAAGATGAAAGATAAAAAGAGAATCCTTAGTGAGCCAACTGTCATGTCACAAGCCAGGTAGACAAAAATTCGAGGGTGGTATCACTCACTCCAGTGGTAGAGACGCATTCCCCATCCTTGAGGCATCGCACGTAATCCCAGTTGACCTCTTCGTCACGGCTGTTTAACACGAAAGCAAGTTGAAGAGTTAGTTCATGCATCAAATCATTTCGCCTGTGCAAACATCCCAAAATCCCAAAGAGGGAGCAGGTGTAACTCACAACGAAGGCCATCCGTGTTTTTGCGATTCGACCAAGAAGTCTTCCATAGTTCGTCCCACGGGTGCCGTAAACAACTGCGCGCCCGTGACCGAGTCGTAAAATTGAATGGGTTTTTCTTCTTCTGCGAGACTCTTGAGAAAGTCGGTGGTTTGCCAATATCCGGCAAATTCGGCATAGTGTCGATTAAAGTTGCAAATGCGATCGGCGGTTCCAAAATCACAATTCCATCGCAATTTCTTTTGCACGGGTTGCGCACTGGTGCCGTGTTCCTTTTGCGACATGACGTCTTCTTCGGCCATGATGGGATACGCTTTTGCCTTGGTGGCAAAGGTGGCCGTCGCCGCTCGCGCCGATGCGGGTAGTGGCGCAAAGGCGGATGCCGATCGCAAGGCCAATGTCAGTGTCAACAGGGGAGTCAAGAATTTCATTGTGTCGCTTTGGTTGTCTCTGTTTCTAGTAGGAGGTTTTTTCCCTATTGGTTTCAGAGGGCTTGAGTTGTGGTACCTGGCGAATAATGGAAGATGAAAGAGGCGACGGCTGTGAAAGAATGAGGTGGCGCCATCGTGCAAGTGTTTGGGGACGGAATGGGAGTGAGTCAGTCAGGACGGATCTTTCGCCAGTCACGAATGTCACCAACCAAAGATCCATTATTTTTTCGCAGCCTTTTTTGGTTCCCTCCAAAGGTCTCTTTGTCGCTTGTGAAGAGGACGACGATGGTGTGAAGGGAGCAGTCCATCCAAAATGGTATTTCGTTTACAAATAGTTCATATCCTCGGAGCTCTCGGCTTTCTATCGACATCGTTTGTGGATGGCCACTACACAAAATTTAGGAACGATGTTCTTCAAGCAGCGCAACAACCTGCTTGTTCCTTGAATGGAGATCTGGTAGAAGTATTACAACCATCGTTTGTACATGGAGTGGAAGGAAATCACTGCATCTGCGACAAGCCATGGAAAGGAGTGGATTGTGGAATACTGGATGTTCTACCAGTTTCCTTTCCACAAGGCTATGGCATGCTACCCAACAAGACCACCTGGGGGGCCTCTCTTCTACACGTCAGTAATCAATTCCATCTCTTTGTATCCTCCATTACGGGCGACTGTTCGCTCCGCAGTTGGCATCCCAATTCCAGAATTGAACATGCCGTGGCCGATACCATTACTGGTCCCTATCAATTCCACGACATGGTGCTGCCCACCTTTTCCCACAATCCCAAGGTTGTGGTACTGTCATCCCAAAACCAAGAAGACTCGGACCTGCAATTGGCCATGTTTCATATTGGAGATGCCACGGGACCCGATCAAGCCAAAAAGGGAGACTGCAAGAAACAATCCACCACGCCAATTTTGGACACTGCTACAACCAACAGTCGAAAACTGGTGGACAATGACGAGATGCAAGAAACTGTCGGTGGGAAAAGCAGTGCGATACATTTGGCGACTTCCGTCCATGGTCCCTGGACACCCTTGCTCAACAATACACTGATTGGATGCAATAATCCAGCTCCGTTTGTGCATCATCCTGCCGACAACAACGAGGCACAACAGGATGACAGTAGTAGTATTGACTCCGGTATCTATGTGGTTTGTGGTCGCGCCAATCACAGCGTCCTGATGTACGCACAAGAAATCTGGGGGCCGTGGAAGACGGTGAGTCAAATCACGCCCTTTCCCGAGGACGACGACACTTCTACAACAAGCACAAGCAGCAGTCTGCACTACGAAGATCCCAGCTTGTACATTGATCCCAAGCGAGGCGCCTTTCATGTTATTTATCATTTGTACGATACACAAGAAAATCCTCCACATGGACACGACTGTGTCCAATCGACCGTGTCGGCACATGTCTTTTCTAGCGATGGCATTCACTGGTACAAGTCGCAAGGGCAACCGTATACGACCCAAATTCCCGTGGAGGATAATGATTCTGCAACGACGACCACCACCATTACAGTAGCCACACGAGAACGGCCCAGTCTGGTCTTTGATCCTACGACAAAGGCCCTCACGCACTTGATCACGGCGGTCTGTAGTGCCGAGAACTGTCCCGACGGACCACCGCAGGGATGTGTCAATTGCAAATACGATCATTGGGATTATACTCTTGTTCAACCATTGAATCATGCGTAACAACAAGAATATACGGATGCACATCAAGGAGCAGAGGAAACAACACCAAGCGAAACTGTCCTCCATTGCTTCCGGAAATAAAGATGACAAGAAGACGTCTCATTAAAGGGGACTACAAACGGAACTCATCGAAGGAGTGCTATCGGTAGCCATGCTTCTGTGCATCATAATTATTTTACAGTCCTCCAGTCCAATCTATGCACAATAGTTAATGATTCCCCATTCCCATTGCAGCAGCAATCAGGTAAAACACATTGGCCTCCGACGTTCTCGGCAAGAGATGTGTCCAATCTGGATTGCTGTCCCATATAGGTGTATGTACGAAGTGATCCACCAGATAGGTCACATTGTACTCCAAACACACTCTCTGAACAATGCCATTGTAGGCATCCAATACCATGGGGCTCCTCCAGTCCCTGGGAGGACATGCTCCACTGATTTGTCCACTTGGTCCATTGTAGTGTATGGGGCGGGCAAACACTTTACTTGTGCTAATACCAGCGTCAACCAACTGTTGGAAGACACCTTGCATTTGAGGATAGTATTCATCCAATAGAGTTGGTTTGCCATGATAGTAACAACTTGCAGGCCACTGTCCAATGGCAACAATGAGATGGGTGCATTGCGATTGGATGACATCTTTGGCTTTAAAGTCGTTCGGAAATTTGGCTTGGACCCATTTCAATTCTATATTGGTTGTGTTGGGGTTTATTCCAAGTCGTTCTCCAGCTTCCATCAACTCTTTTGAGTGACTGAATCCGACAAAGCACACAATTTGGGGGGCTGATTGTTTCAATAATGATAGTGATAAATCCTTTGTGGTTGTTGTAGTGGCTGGTAGCAGTGGATTGCTGTTTCTATTGTTGCTGTCGGTGGGCACCTTGGTCCAGCGAAATTCATAGGGATTGAATTGATTTCTGTTGTCAGCTACGAAGCAATGGTCTGCCTGTGCCTTGCCAGTCATGAGTGACCAGTAACACTCAAAGGGTTGATGTCGCAAATAGACTGGTGGATGCAGTGTCGTAGTGGTGTCATTGCTGCTAATGGAAGATGGCAGGGACTTGTGGTTATGCCAATATCCTGCCCACTGTTGGCTTTGGAACTGTTGTCGAGTTCGTTTTGCCATTTCAGGAGTGACCCAAATGGATGCCTTGGGTGCTGTTAATCGACGCCGGAATGGGTTTTCCATACAGGTTCCAGTAAAGTTGATTGCAAGTACATTGGCCATGCCGTCTGCCGTTTTGTTGTCATCTTTGAGCCAGTCTTGATTCCGAGGCAGCTTGGCAATATTGTTTAGATCCACCATGTCATAGAATGCATCGTGACAGAATAAGGCTGCGACTTCTAGGAAGTACTCTCCTCCAATAGGTGTTTGATAGGTAGCTGCCATGGTTGTCCCTGGACCCGTTTTTTGGTTGTCGCTCCAGGTCCAATTTTGGAGCAGGATCAAGGCTGGTCCCGAAAGCCTCGCCATGAGATAGGGCCGTGGACACTTGGCTCCATTCCGCAGTTCCACAACAATTTGAGCGCTTTGAGGGAAATGTTGGATTGATATCAAGTCTTTAAACAGCGTGGCGTTGGAATCCAATTCAATTTGGATGCCTCCAACCTTGTCAGCTGCTTTTGCCGTCATCATCAAGGTTTGTTGTAATGTGGTGGTCATCATCAAGCTTTGTTGTAACGTTCGTGTCGACTTCCACAGCATGTCCCAATAGAAAGGACAAATTCCCACGAGTGCCACCAACATTACTCTGCCACACCGACGAGTCCAAACACGTACGTCGCAAGGACTGATATTGTTACTTTGGTTTCTGGTTGCATATCTCCACCAGGAGGAGGCACTGTTGCCATCCTCCTCCCGTCTTCCATCCTGCGCCCGTTTTACGGTGCCGATCAGCGCTTTTTTGAGCTTGTTCTTCCTGTGTATGCTACGAGCCATGATGCATGGACCGAACTTGTCAGTGTTGGTTTGGATGGAGCTGTTTTGTTGCTGAGAATTGCAGTCAGTGGCAGCCGCTTTTTTGGAGTTGCTTTCCTGTTTCTTTTATATGATTTTAAAACGCGAAAGTTAGTTTGCAGTATGGGCAAGAGTTGCTGTGGAGCTGTGGAGCTCCCACGGAGGTCATTGGAAAAGGACATTTTGTACGGTACCGGTCATTATTTGGTCAATAAAAATTTGATACCAAGAAAGGATCGATGTTCCATGTTCCATGCCCCGCAGACGCTACCGTACCATCCAAATGCAACAGCTCAACAGAGAACCCGCTTAGAGGTCTAGCACCACAAACCCTTCAAACACTACTCATGCCAAGGTCTCATTTTTGATTCAAAATGAAGTTGGTGGCTTGTTGTTGTACAGGTTCTGTCGTCTGGTTGGCAGCGGTGCTGCTGTTGTTATCAGCGGCATTGGTATCCGGCAGCGCCAATGACGGAGATGATTCATTGTTTTTGCGACGCAAGCTGGAAGGAGAAGACTTGAGCCCCCCTGCTTTTGATGACGACAAAGAAGAAGAATCCAATGAACACAAGGTTTGTCCCGTCCATGACCCAACCGCAACGACCGAGGAGGGGGGAGGAAATAGCATTTTTGACCCTCCCACAGCTGGAGAAATGCAACAAGTCATGGAAGCCATGATGTTGTATGATTTCAGCAATGAAGCAGATGACGACAACATTACCCTTACCCTGCAGCCACTGCCCCTTCCAGATGTGATGGCCATTGGTCAGTTGTTTTATGGACAGAGTTTGGCCACCACTGCCATTCCGAGTCCTGGACCCATTTGGGGTGGCATTCAAACCAACTACATTGCTCGCATGGAGCTCATTCCACCCATCAAACAAGAGGCAACCGCATTCTTGTTTGGAAATGATGATGCTCCAATGCCAGGACGCTATGCACGTGTCAATGTCAATTTTGGTGCCTTGGCGCAACCCAAGTTTGTAGAGTACAAGGTAGGCCCTCTCTCGGCCGATTCCAACGAGATGATCGTGGAAAAGCTCTCGGAACATATCTGGAACACGCGACCTCGAGAAATCAACGAGGCGTGGTGCCTCAAACTCATGGTTCACATGATTCTGACAGAAGAAGACTTCCAAATCATTACCTCGGAATCCTTTGCAAACAAGACGCATCTATTCAATGGTCTCTCCGATCATGAGGGAGCACCACCCGGACTCCTGCCGGAAGAAAGGTACACACAAGTCCGTGTAATGATGGATGTGCACGGAACTTGGGATGGAAAGAAGCTCAACCCTGTTCCCTTGGTCTTTACAATCAACAACACCGATGTCGATCCCGGCATGTGGACAGCCGACAAATTTTGGTACAATCGACAAGGGCCCTATACGCGAGATGAACTGGTTGATGCCTACATGACTGATGAACTGGACAAGATTGTCATTCCTGAAGAGCATTTTCAGGAGATTCAACAATCTTCCTTCCCACAAAAGCGACCTGGTAAAGACCGACCCATGGCGGACAAGCCTGGTCCTCAACTTTACATGCCCGAAGGGGCACGATATACCATTGATGGCCGCACCGTGAACTGGATGGGATGGAGTTTCCATGCCGGGTATGACTTTCGTGCCGGTCCCAACTTCAAAAACATCATGTTCCAAGGAGAACGAATTGCCTATGAAGTCGCGCTCAACGAGATTGGACTGCTCTACACTTCCAACGACCCAGCAGTTGGAAATCTGAACTATTTGGATTCCAACTTTGGCAATGGAAAGTATCGGGAACTCATGCGCGGGGTTGATTGTCCGGACTATGCGACCTACTTGACCAACTACTGGTTTCAGGCTCTGCGCGGTCCCGTCACTGCCCACGGAGCGGTTTGCGTATTTGAAGTGGCCACGGGAGACGTTCTTTGGCGTCGTGCGGGTCCATTTGTCAGTGGTCTGCCCAATACAGAACTCCATGTTCGTTTTGCCATGCCCAATGGCAACTATGATTACATTGTGACGTATAAATTCAAGTTGGATGGAGAACTCCATGTGGAAGTGGCATCATCTGGATACATTCAGACTTATTACATGCCGCAGTAAGTGTGTTGTTGGAAGGTCTTGGCCTGGTTCTGCAAGAGGTATCTCATTCTGTGCTTTTTGCTTTTCCATGACGCTTCAATCAATCGGTTGCCTGACAGAGAATGGAATGAAAAAGACCCGTTCTCGTATCGTTTACAGACATACAGTGGCGGTTCGCTCCACGACCACACCTTCGGTTTCAAGGTGGATCTTGATGTTGTCAGTGAGACGAATAGCTTTGAGACTGTCTCGTACAAGACGGGCAGCACGTTGGACGCGGTCAATTCCGGAAATCCAGACCCACCACTGACCGAGAAACCCGAGTACCTTTTGTTTGATACCATGCGATGGGTGGAGTACAATACGGTTCAAACCGAGGATGATGCCATCATGAACAAGGACCCCTTCGCGCCCAAGGAGTGGATTTTTGGGGATTCCACCAAGAAGAATAAATGGGGCAACACCCGAGCCTACCGCCTGGTCTTGGGATCCACTCCAAGTTCCTTGTATCCTTTGGGAAGTCAAACCATGCCAGCGTTTAGCTATGCCAAGCAAATGCTGGCAGTAACTCAGTACAAAGACAATGAACAAACTTGCTCAGGTGCCTACGACATGAATCGATTGGCCGACCCGCTTGGTTCCTTTGAGAATTTTGTAGACGGCGAAAGCATTGTCCAGGAGGATTTGGTAGCCTGGGTTTCGTTGGCGTTTCTTCATCTACCCATTTCTGGTGAGTTGAGTCTGTCATGAAGGGAGATTGCTTGCAGGTCACAGAGCCAATGTCATGACTGGCGTTGCTTTGGCTGTCTCACCAATCTTTCGTCCGTCTTCTTATGCACCAACAATACTGTAGAGAACATGCCCATGACAAATGCGGTCAAGACGGGCTTTACAATTGCTCCATGGAATTTCTTTGACGAAAACCCTGCCATGGATCTTCCTCACTATCTCCGAATGAACGAGGCGGAAATACCCGGTGACAATCGCCGGGAAGATTTGCCAGTTGTGGAGCAGTGCATTCCAGCTTCCTTCCCCACGGAACATACTTTCTCTGGTGCTTAGCTATTTATTGGTAGCAATGTGTGTATACATGTATGTGTGAGTGATTGAAAAGTAAATATCCTAGGGGAAAGTAATTTCATACTAGTCTTTCATCGGGATGAATCCAATCATTCAATAAGATGAAGGTTACTATGCAGTTAGAGGAAACTATGGGGAGATTGATGTGGGCCAGAGCTGGAGCCGAGCAGCCAGGAGAGCAAACCAACCGAAGGAGGAAAGGAATGAACCAGAACAGTCAGAGAAATGACGGGGAAGGGGACAGACTATGAGTAGATCTCAAGAGCGCCACAATCATCCCAATGACATGAGCTCATGGTGTTAGCAGGAACATGAGAGCCATGGAGGCACATCATAGTGGCTCTAGGCAGTGCAATGCTCATTCAATCATGGGTTGGAAGAAGACTTGCATCGGTTTCGTGTTGCATCGGCTGCGTTTGACGGAGAGCGTGGTGGCAAAACGAGGAAAATTTGGTTCCGTGATTGAAAACCAACCTCAATCACGGATTCTGGCTCTTCTTGGACGCGACATGTCGACGACACCCACCACGACACGACGCGACTTTGCACAAGACGACAAAGAGAAAACATACATGTCATACATGAACGGCAACATGATCAAGCCCGTACTGCTAGTACTGTCAGCTCTGCTCCTTGCCGTCGTGTCCGCTGCCGACATTGAGGATATTGTGGCTTGTCCCTGTGAGATAGCCCCGCTGCCCGATTTACGCCACAAGGAATTGACGGCTCGATGGATGGTCCATTCGTTGAATTGGGGAGTGCTGTCGACGATTTCGTCTCGTCTCACAAGTAGCGAAGGAGATCGTTTATCGATTCCCTTTGGCAATGTCTACTCCTTTGTGGATGGCACCTGTCAAAATTCCACCGGCACTCCCTACTTTTATGGCACCCACCTCGATCAATCCTTCAAGGACAGTTTGGTCAATAACCATGCTTCCTTGACACTCTCGGAAGCTTCCATTTCCTCGGTCTGTTTATCGACTTCGTCCGCGGGTGTCATGAAACGCAAGGCCTGTCAAATTGGGTTGAAATACGGAGATCCGGAAAATCCCGTTTGTGCCCGGTTGACATTGACCGGAACACTGGAAGAAGTTACAGTCCCGGCAGAAAAGGAATGGGCCCTGCAATCGATTTTCCAGCGGCATTCGAGTATGGAACAATGGCCCCAAGACCACGATTGGGTTGTTGCCAAGCTCGTGTTGAAGGATATCTGGTTGATTGATTTCTTTGGTGGTGCCAGTATTTTGGATTTGGATGCATACTATCATGCGGATGATTTCATGAAGGAGATTACTGGTAGTAGTGGTGATGCAGAGGAAGAGGATAAGCACTAGCTAGCTAGTCTAGATGATCAGTTCAGTTCAGAGTAGATTGTATTTGTTACAACGGCATTGTATTATTTGTACAGTACTACTGCATGTTCTGTTCTATAGCTCTTCTAGCTAGTGCAATCTATAATCAATGTAAGGCGCCACAAAATTCAAGATTTGTTCCTTCATCATGGCTCCTTCGATGCGTTCCAACTCCTCGTCTGGACCATTCAATAGCAATACGGTTGGCAACCCACCGGCTCGCAACTGTTGTGCCATGGCGGGATACTGATCCGAATCCAATTTGGCCACCCGCACTCGCGTGCCCAATTCAAAGGCCGCATCCTTCAAGGCGGGCGCCATCATTTGACAGGGTCCACACCATGTGGCATAAATATCCAATAGCAAGGGTGCTTCCGAGGGTGCCGAGAGTTCTTGTGTCAATTGTTCGTCCGTCAACTCGGCCACAATCCCCGGTTGGACGTGGCCAGCAACCGAGTATCGTACGGTACTCGACCGAGCTTCCAACAGAGCCTGTACAATGTCCTCCTTTTCCACAAAGTGCGCCCACCGCATCTTGCGTTTGCCGCATTCTTCACGGAGTTGTCGGATCGTCATGGATCGGAGTTCCTCCAAATTGCCCGCCACATCAAAGTCGTTTTCAATGGTGGATCCATCGCTGGGAGGTTGATTGGTGCGAGCGGCGTATTCTTGCGGTGTTTCGCCTAAATCCAAGACTTCCGGGATGATTTCATCAGTGTCATCAGTATCAGTAGTAGGTATTGTTGTGGTTGTTGTTGCTGTGGTGGTCCCTTCTCGGGCGTCTTGCAGTCGTTTGACGAGACTTTCCTTGTCAAAACAATCGTCATAGGAAACTTGACGAGTCTGTAATTCGGCTTGAATTTCCTTGACACGCATGGTGGAAGGAGGCAGCAAATCTTGATCGGGACCCGACGAGGATTCCACTACCGAAGCCGAAAAGGAAACATGCTTGCTGCTGTATCCAATTTTACATGCACTGGGATTGTTGTTCATCCATTTCGTCATGACAAACCCATCGGATGATCCAGCGAGGAATATTGTCATCACCACAACAAGGAGGCCAGGAAGAGACATCTTTCAACAATTTTCTTGCAGCAGCTGATCTTTTGCTTTCTCTTGTCTCTATCTCGGCGACAGAACCTCGTTCAATCCTTTTTGGCTTCGGTTTTTTAGAATTTCAATCCTTTCCTTTCCGACTGTTTGAATGTTGCCACTGGCCACGAAGCTCGTGTTTCGAGGCATGCGCCGAAAGAGGTGTCAGCGAAAGATCTTCTTTACTTCCACGTGGTAACCCTTTTAATTAACCCTGCCGTAGTTCGTACCCGGCCCCGCCGCAGCACACGCTATGAATTCTGTCAAACTTCACCTGAAGGACCTGGCTGGGAGCTTGTCCCATCTGAATGCCACCCTCCAACCAATGGGTCATCCTGTTTCCAACCCCTCCACAAGACTCCCAGTGCCGTGCCCCAACGAATCCAAGCTGCCTGCTGAACATCTACGTGATGAACTGTCCATGGATGGTATATTTATTTGAGCACTAGTATGAGTTATGTATTGTACAATGCCTTGAGATTGCAGGGTAAGCATCGTACAAGCTTGTTACTATCTTTAGAACATGCATATTTTAGAATTAGCAGCTTCACTGCACAAAGAACAAAGGAAATTTAACCCCACCCCCACTCTCAAGCTGGACGGACAGCTGGATACAAGCCACTACCCATGATGTTTGCACAAGGCAATCCCATTCACTTGGAACACTTTCCCGCTCACCAGAGAAAATGTGGCTCTGACGCCGCTTCCCTTCTCCATCTCTTTGTTTAGGTAGATCTTTTCGGCGTAGTTGACACTAGCCTCACTGTTGTGCCAGCCACTTAGCAACGCCTCGTGCAGCAGCTCCCAGCTCTCGGCGCTTGGGGCGCGCCCTTCCACCACGACACTCAGTTTTGTTCCCTCCCAATCTGGACCATAGCTTCTCAAATACTGCACGAGAAAAGATTCAAGAATGAAAAGTTTAGCCATGACAATCATGCGGTTTATTACCACCACCGACAATGGATTTCTTGTCTCTTACCAACAGTACCAGTTGATTCACAGCCGATTCAATATTATCCAGCTGGATCGTAAATGTCGCATTCTCTTGAAGTGCCATCCAGGTCCGTCTAGGTTTATTAATAGGGAACCCAAAAGACTCCCATCCTTGGATGTTGGTGGCTACACTGGACACTGCCTTGTGCACGTCTCTTTTGGTACGGGCAGACTGTTTGGCAGCAACCCACTTGTAGACACAAGTGGTAGCCAATCCATCGGGATTGCCTTGTTGACACAGTTCCTTCTTTTGGCGTGATGTTTCGTTCCATTGGTGGTGTAGGTCATCGCCTTTGAGCTGCTATGTCAGCAAAGGTTTTACAAACCCTACTCATGGCTAGGATCGGCATGATGAGGCATTGCCTTGGCGTTACATCCATCCAACAAACCGGAGAGTAGATTGTACGCCAACACCCAACTTATGCCAGTGTGGAAGCTCAAACCCGGGTGTAGATGGGCCCATTGATAAAAAGTAGTGTCGTCTCGAGGGTGTGAGAGTACGTAATCTCGGATCGCATCTGCATAGAAAGGCTATGACACTGCCACCAGTCCAAGCTGCCATCTCTCCCATGTGACGGGGAAACCACAGAGACTCTTTGACGGTCACACCCAAGCTAGACACGCTTTCCAAGGGAACATCATGGAGTTGAATGACGAGGGGCAGGTCACTGCAGGGGCGCTGGTCCATAGCCAGATGGAGAAATGTTTGCATACTCTCATAGACTCTCTCCTTTGCATCCGCCGGTGCTTGTCCATCGTTGGAACTATACGCGGAAATGAATATGTCAACATCCTTGCCTTTTAGGTTTTGCCCGGCACCACCATTACCACTCCACATATCAAATTCAAACAGTGTGCTTCCGATGACGGAATCCGTTCCTCCCACTGCAAAGTTTTGTACTTGGACAATTCCCTTGGAACAGTGCCGACAACATTTTATTCAGCAACAACTGAAGTTTGTGGGCCCTAGCACAGCCTTTAATTGTTTCTCGCGATCCAAAGGGCAATCCAACGTCATTGTCATTGGATGCATATCCAGCCGTCACGGAACCACCAAAGACAGCAATTTGCAGGGGTGGATTGTTCGGGGGGTTGAAAATGCAGTTTCGTATCACTTGCAGTACCTTTTCCATGACCAGTGGATTCGCGGGTACTTTGATGGATTGCTTCAGCCGATACAACGTGAGTTCCGAGAACATTTTCTTGGTCAACCGATGAAATGCTGCTTGGGTATGGTTATTGCTCTTGTCGATTTGAGGAGCATCTTTCGACCAACATGACGCCAGCGCGTCAAACACTGCACTTTGGATGGGTTGTTGCAACGCTTGCCACTTGTCGAAGGCTGTGTTTTGGCAAAAGGATTCGGCAACAGGTTTGGATACCTGAGTTGTTGCATTCATGTTGTGGTTCTTTTGAAGGTTTGCCATGTTGGTCTTTAGTTCTTCCAGCTCCTTGTTCCTCGCAGAAAGTTGCATTCGGAGGTTCGCTAATTCCTTTTTGCTTGCTTCGTTGCTCGGTGACAATGCTGTGTGATTCACGTTGTGAACGGCAGCACGTCTACCTTCCTCTGCTGTCCTCTCACTCCTCAATTCACGCATCACTGTGAAAAAGCATACTGTGGCAAAACCAAACAACAACAGCAGAGTTGACGTCGGGGGCTTTGCATGCTTTATGGTTCTTAATCTCATCTTCCCGTTTGGGGTACATGCCTTGCAATGAAATGCAATTGATAGTCAATTGTGTTGCAACTTCTCAGCTAAGCTATGATAAGCCTACTAGCTAGCACGAGGTGACTGACCACCTTCGAATAACTCTTTGCTGAATCGAATCGGATGATTCGTACTTTCGCCAACCGCGAAGTTGGCTAGGGATGAACCTCTAGAGACTCGACTCCTGGCTCTATTTTACGGCGAAGGGAAAACAACTTTCACAGGTAGTTGCACTAACAAATAATTGTATACAAAAATGCAGAGTAAACTGTAACTTTAACCTTATATTTATCGCAACTACCCTTCTTCCCAGCTACGGTACAGTACCTGGACCGTCCGACTGTTTTCGATAAGGATTTAGAAAACTCAAATTTGCCACGACTGACAACATCCTCTTAAACATCCTCTTAACATCCTCTTAAATCTTCAACATCCCCTTAAACATCCTCTTAAATAAACATCCTCTTAACAACATCCTCTCTAAGCTTCGAAACATCCTCTTAAGCCTTCATTGAAACACCATAGGACTTCCTCTTATCACGACTGAACATCCTCTTAAATAAACATCCTCTTAAATACTCAACATCCTCTTAGGCATCCTTTTAAATCTTCGCATCCTCTTACATCCTCTTAACCAGAACCAGGATTTGAGTCAGTCGTGGCAGTTTTTAAAGCCTGAGCGAAAAACCGTCGGACGGTCCTGGTACGGTATGTGCTAACAAAACAATTGGCTAGCTAGCCAGAGGCTGGCCCTTTTTTGGAGACCGACAAGGTATCATTGGCTTGGCCGTGGCCCCCGCTTCACTCTTACTTTATGGCTGGCAACCAAAAGGGCTGCTATGTGTTATGTACAAGGCCCTCTGATGCCAGGGTAAGCACGACACAAGCTTGTTACTTTGGCGTTAGAGGATGCAATATCATCCTTCCAGATACAAATTAGCAGCTTCACCGCACAAGGAACACAGAAGATTTAACATCAGCCCCGCTCTCAAGCTGGATGGTTGGATACAAACCAGCTACACATGTTTACAGAAGGCAATCCCATTCACTTGGAACACTCTCCCGGCCACCAGAGAAAATGTGGCTCTAATGCTGCTTCCCTTCTCCATGACTTTTTTGAGGTTGATCTTTTTGGAGTAGTTGACACTAGTCTCACTGTTGTGCGAGCCAATTAGCAATGCCTCATTCAGCTTTTCCCAACTCTCGGCACTTGGGGCACTCCCTTCCACAACGACAGTCAGTTTTACATCCACCCAATTTGGGCCATAGCTTCTCAGATACTGTCAGAGAAAAGAAACAAGAACGAAGAGTTTAGCCATGACAATCATGTGTATTAGCAACACCAACAATGGATTTCTTGTCTCTTACCAACAGTACCAGTTGATTAACATCCGATTCAATATTATCTAGCTGGATCGTAAATGTCGCATTTTCTTGAAGTGCTCTCCAGGTCCGTCGAGGTTTTCGAACAGGGTTACCATACGCCTCCCATCCTTCGATGTTGGTGGCTACACTGGACACTGCCTTGTGCACCTCTTCTTTGGAACGGGCCGACTGTTGGGCAGCAACCCACTTGTAGACACAAGTGGTAGTCATAGCATCGGTATTGCCTCCTTGGCACACTTCCTTCTTTTGGCGCGATGTTTCGTTCCACTGGTGGTGAATGTCGCCACCTTTGAGCTGCTCTGTCAGCAAGGGTTTCACGAAGCCCACTCTTGGCTCTGGATCAGCATGGTGAGGCATCGTCTTGGCATCACATCCATCCAACAAACCGGAGAGTAAATTGTATGCCAACACCCAACTAATGCCAGTATGAAAGCTCAACCCCGGGTGTAGAGCGCCCCATTGATAGAAAGTGGTGTCGTCACGAGGATGTGAGAGTACGTAATCTCGGATCGCATCTGTATAGGAAACGGCCATGACGCTGCCGCCAGTCCAAGCTGCAGTCTCTCCCATGTGACGGGGAAACCACAGAGACTCTTTGACAGTCTCAATATGAGGCTGGCTTTCCAAGGGAACATCTTCGAGTTGAATGACGAGGGGTAGGTCGCTGCAGGGGCGTTGGTCCATGGTCAGACGCAGAAATGTTTGCATACTCTCATAGACTCTCTCCCTTTCCTCGGCCGGTGCTTTTCCATCGTTGGCACTATAAGCGGAAATAAAAATGTCAAAATCCTTGCCTTGTAGCTCTTGTGCCGCAGCACTTTTACCACGCCATAGATCAAATTCAAACAGTGTGCTTCCAATGACGGAATCCGATCCTGAAATGGCAAAGTTTTGTACTTGGACAATATCATTGGCACTACCGCCACCAGGGAGAAGTGCGGGCAACATTTTATTCAGCAACAACTGAAGTTTGTGGGTCCAATCACAGCCTTTAATTGTTTCTCGCGATCCAAAGGGCAATCCAACGTCGTTGACATTGGCTTCAAATCCCGTCGTCACGGACCCGCCAAAGACGGCAATTCGCAGGGGTGGATTTTTCTGGGGGTCGTCCATGCGGTTTTGGATAACTTGCTGAACCTTTTCCATGACCAGTGGATTCGCGGGTAGTTTGACGGATTGCTTCAGTCGATACGAAGTGAGTTCCGAAAACATTCTCTTAGTCAACTGATGAAAGGCTGCCTGGGTATGGTTATTGCTCTTGTCGACTTGAGGAGCATCTTTTGACCAACAAGACTCCAGTGCGTCAAACGCAGCACTACGGATGGGTTGTTGTAGTTTTTGCCACCTGTGGAAGGCAGTGTCTTGGCAAAAGGATTCGGCGGGAGGTTTGGATGCCTGAGCTTTTGTGGCATCATCAATGCTTTGTTTCTTTTGAAGATTTGCCATGCTGGCCTTTAATTCTTCCAACTCCTTGTCCCTCGCAGAGACTTGCTTTCGGAGGTTTGCCATTTCCTTCTTGGCTGCTTCGTGGCTCGATGACTGATCCAGCTTTGTGTGATTCCAATTGTCAACGGCAGCGCGTCGACCTTCCTCTGCTGTCTTCTTGGGGAGAAATCCATTCTCAATCCTCTCTTCACGCGACACTGTGACAAAGCATACCATGGCCAAACCCACCAAAAGTAGAGCCGAGGTCAGCCGAAGCTTTGTATGCTTGATTGTTGTTGTTGTCGTCGTCATCTTCCCGTCGGGGTTTCGCATCGTGCCTTGCGATATCAAAATAAATGCAATTGATGGTGGTAACTTGTGATGTGGGAAAGCTGCGGGTGAAAAAGAAGTGTTTCCAGTTTCTTTGGTTGGCTACTTGTGTTAACTTCGTCTTCTATTACAATAGTTAAAGTTTGTGCCTACTCCACAAATCCTCGTCAGATCCTCAGTGTGTTGGGTGTTCAACTGGAGGTTTGTTTACTGCGCGCCTTGCCTCGATGGTTTTGGATGTTTCCTAGCGGTATCTGCGACGATTTTCGAGAGTTCAGCACCTACGAAGGCGCAAAGACTGGCGAGTTCATGTGTTTCGTTAAATCCGAATTTGGGGCATAATTGACTGAGGGACATTAATGTTATCATAGAATATAGAATGCTCATTTGTATGACCTTTAATGCCTGAAATTGCAGAATCGGCACCGGTGCATCTACCGGTATTGACTCTACGTACGGTACCAGATCATCCACGAACTTACGAAGGTTATTTCAAATGACCTTTACCAGGTACCTAGTATTGCCAATTGCCAAGGGGCACGGATGGACGCACTTACTTACCGTACCCAGGCGCGGAAGATGTCTCGTACGTCATACTGGTTCCTGGTTCTGGTATTTTAATACCAGTCCTGTGCAGCGAGGGACTCGACTCCACATAGGAGTTGGATAGTGTTGCAGTTCTAATGGCTTACATTGTGGATGACACCAAACCCCGTCAATCAATCCACCATCTTCATTCAATCTTCAGAACCAGCACATCTTCTGGCAAGACAAAGGGAAAGAGATTGTGTAAAGATGAGCAGCCCACGACGAAAGCGCCACATCCACCTTGACGACGCCAACAACAGTAGTGATGATGATCGAAAGCCACCGGCAAAGAAGAAGAAGAAATCGTCCAAGAAGAGTAGTAATGGCCAGCAACAACAAGATTTGCCCGATTTCTTTTCGGTGGATCTCGTCGCGACCAAAATCTTTAGTTTCCTCGACACCAAGGAGCTGTATGCCATGAGCAAAACGTCCAAGTACGTGCGGTGCTTGATCCGCCACGAGCACGTGGTGCGTTCCGCTCTGATGCATGGTGGACACGCGCAGCAGTCCATGACCAACTTGGTCGAGTTGGTCCGGCATTGCAGCATTTGGACTCCGACCGCCTTGCGTCTTTTGCGATTGTGCAATGGCAGACGCTGTGAACATTGCAATGCCGCTCGCGTCAATTGCGTCAATAAGGATTATGGCTTGTTCTTGTGCTGGAACAACTGCATCACGTCCAACCATTTCTCGAAAAAAGTGGGCATGAACAAAAAGTGGAAGCCCCTGGTAACTCATGATCGTTGTGCCGCAGCCACGTATTCGTCCACTGCGTTCATCTTCTTGCATCCATTCAAGGACAGTTGTGGAGATCCGGCCGGTCCTTTGATTACCAAGGTTACAATGGACAAGGTACTGGCCAAGAAAACGACATTGGACAAGGAATTGGAAAAGTTGGACCAGCAACGGCATGAACATGCGGCAAGACATGCCGAAGAAATCATTGCAACGTTTGAAAATTCCCAGCAAGAAGCTCGCGACAGAAAGACGGAAAAGGAAAAGGCCAAAGAAGAAGCGAGGGGCAACGCCATTGAACGAAAGCGAGAAAACGTCAAGCAGTTCTTGTCCAAGCTGGAGGCCGTCGTGGATGACAATGCACCATGGAAGCAATTTGCTTTGGAGCATAAAGAGACAACGGTTTACACTAGCGCCTGCAACACGGTCCAGATGAAGTGCAGCTTCACCCACGAAGTCGTCAAGGACTGTCTCAAGGCTCCTAGCAAGGCCACAAAGAAAAAGATCCAAGGCATGAAACAACAGCTGGAAGAGGGGTTCAATTTTATCTGGGAAAACTGTCTACACAACTTTGAATTCATGCCAGAAACTAATGAATTTGAAAAGACAATGAAAGCTTACTGTGGCAGAGAATTTTACGACATGATGCACATCCAAAGTATCACAGCATCCGATGTCGCGAAACTCAAAACGCTACTCCAAAATGGTTCCGACCCTATTCCCACATTGCTCCCGTCACTGCCTCGCTGCGTCGAACGTGCCGTGACAGACAGGCTTTTGGCGACGGTTGTTGCTGAGGGCATTGCTGAAAGGAAAAATTCAGTTTTCTTGAGGGCTCATGCTCTGCATTTGTGGCGATCACTCCGCAAGACGACCGATCTCGCTCCCCACAATAGGCTCAACGCTTGCTTGAACAAGTTTCCCAAAATGGCAAAGGAATGGATCCAATTCAAGGAACCCCCCGATTCCAAGGCTTGTCTGGACGCCCTTTCTCTATCGGCATTCTTTCCTCGAAAAGGGTGACTACAACGGGTTCTTGGATTTGCTCTCTGAAGAATTTGCTTCTGAAACACAACCAACAACAACAACATATATTTAACGGATATGGTGTCAATGGGCAATCCCCCCAAGCCGAAGCGAGGGTTGATTTCACAGAGCGGCAGCAAGGGCACCCTCGCCGGCATCACACTCCCGAAGGAGGTGGTGCATTTATGACAGTATTTCACAATGGCAGATTCACGGAATCATGCCGTACATTGAAGGTCCAAGGAATTGGGCAAATGGCATGCGGCAGAATTTGCTTCTGGGTGTCCCAGTTTCCGATTCTGGCTGGCTTGTAAATTATAGCTCTCCAAAGACCCAATGCCCACCCCTACGATGTAGTTTGCGCCGCTGATGCGTGATGGAATGTGCTTAACCACAATCACCCTGTAGAGATTGATTTTCGATTCCCCAAGTCACTCCTCCTCCTCTCCACCATGGCGCCGTTCTTCTTCCTCGCCAACTTCTTCGTCACCAATAGCATTTGTCTCGTCTCCATTTGTCTCATCTTCTTCTCCTTCTTCATCATCCCATTCCTCCCTCCTCATCTTGTTGCCAAGTTCGTCAAACATGTTGACAAACTGGTCATCTGCTCCAAATTGATAATTGTCCAGCATTTGATTGTTGAGTGGAGATCTCAGCTCCAAATTGAAGATGCGACCTTCAGTATTTGTATGATTGGTATGGTACATATCCTCCAAATTCTTGGGATCTTGCCATTGGTCAAACAATTGATGCATATCCTCCGGTGATACGTCATGACCAATCACCACCGAATACTGGTGATCGTACCACTTTTGATCGGCTTGAATGGAAAAGTCGGGAGAATCAATCCACGACACATCGAGCGGCGATTCGTACAACCAAATTCCCAAGGAGGCATCTTCTCCTTGATAGTAGTACAGCGATTGCTCCGAGGCGACATAGTCAAAGACGGGACGACTCATGACGTACCCAGTCGATCCGTATGCCCATGGTGGATACTCTTCGTCGGCAAATTTCGGGTCCTCGGCCCATTTTCCAGTCCGATGTGGTTTGGAATTGGGTTCAATGCGACCAATTACCATGGGTGCCACTGGATTAAAGTTTTTGAGTACAAAGTATCGCAGTGTATTGATGCGTACAACGACATCGTCGTCTGCCTTTAAGATCCATTGAATGTGTGGAAAGGACGATGCAACCCATCGAATGGCATAATGGACTTTATAAGGTAGAGCCTTGTAGGTATCCGGATGGATACTATCCAGAATGTCTCCGTATTGCTGGGATTCTCGAAACAGTCTGGAGGAAGTACTGTTTGGATCGGTCCAGTTTCGGTCCTGTTCGTTATCTGGTTCGGGACCTCCAATGACAAAGACAATGTTGGTCTGATTTTGTGCCCATGTTTCTCGAATGGCTTGTCGTCTATCAAAGTTGGATCGTCCACTCAGGATGATGACTGCCAAATGTGAATTGTTGGTCATGGTTGGTTGGGTGGGTAGATTCCATTTGGTTCGATTGGGTGTATGGCTGTAGTTGTATTTGGAGATTTGAAAGGGTAGCTCGTCCGGATTGACTTCTGCTTCTCCATTTTCGGTAGCATTATTGTCTTGGCTGCTGTTGTAGTTGTCTAGGTCGTTGGTATTCCATTGGAATGAGTTTTGCTCGTCACCTTGTGGTCCATCGTAGTTTCCATACAGAATATAATTGCGCATTCGTTCATTGGGAGTCAACTCCTTCGCGGTAGAGGATTCCTGGTCAGAGCCTCCATTATTTTCCGCCTGCAGAACCCCATTGTGGCTTCCCCAGCTGGATTTATACACATTGTTATTGTTGTCATTATTGTTACTATCTCGATTTCCAAAGGCATCTCGCAATCCTCTGGGAAAATCAAAAAAGGTGCCCTTGTTGGGGGTAACTTGAAAGCTGTGGTGGTTGGTGACAGTGGAGGGAGTTTGGTAGATTTGATACAGTTGCAACACAATCGCAATGAATAGTAAAACATTCATCAAGGTGATGCCTGGTTTGGGTTTGGCCTCATCGTAACGATGGTACTGATCCCCATTGGATCGTCGTCGTCGTCGTCCCGGGCTCGTCATTGCACCGGAGTAGTAGTATTGGCTGTTGTAACCGGGGCGAGACCCTCTTCTTGGCGGTGGTGGAATGTGGCTCTCATCGTCGGTATAGGGAGATTGGGGTGGCATGTCTGCGGTCTGCAACAGTTGTAATAGCCCGGATGGTTTAACTTCAATGGCTACTCACTCTATCGTTCCTCTGCTCTCACTACTTTTCTTCTTTGTGGTCGAGTGCCTCTTGGACGCAATGGACCCTCGAAGGAAGCAAAAATCAGTAGTTGCGGTAAACTTGGGGGGAAATAGAAAATTAAAATTATTCTTCTTACCGCAACTACCCAACATCACTGCGAGAGAAACTGTTCTTTCGATTCAATCGAATCATGATGAATCGAATCGAAACCATCGGCACCACTCCGTGTGACCATCAGAGGACCAGCCAGCTACTAGCTAGCTAGCTAGCTAGCTAGGTACAGTAAAGGTTTTCCAGCCTCCTTTTCATTATCCACTGACCTCTGAGAAAGCTCCAAAGGTGGGCAACTGGCTGCCCTCGAATGGGCTTGCTTGGGACGATGGATGTCCATGGAATAAATGGTCTTGCAGCATTGCCAACATAAATGGGGAATTGGAATGCTAAAACGGGCCAGAGAGGATGCTGCCCCTGGGGTTCTAAAACATGTGCCTAGCTAACTTTCGCTGAGGCTTTTGTAGGCACTGACAAGAGTTGAAATAGGTAAGGCAACATAGAGGTGGATGGGATGTTCTAAACTTCACTTCTGCGGCATGCTGCGGGCGGTCTCCTCGAAGTGCTGGAGTGTGTGCTGTTAACGGTCTTGCCGGTTCCGTGAAGCTTTCCTAACATGGTATCCCAATCCCAGGCAGAGGCTTTACGAGAAGTGCTGGAGTGCTAGTAGTGTGGGCCCGGGGAAAAGGGGAAAGCGTTCTTGTGGCTAGCTAGCTAGCTACCACTGCAACATGATCTTGTAGCTACTGTAATACAATTGGCTGTCCTTTCGCTACGATGGACCATGTGACCCTTCCGCGGAATGACGAATTTAGGTGGATGGATGGAGGAACCGTATCTTTGAAAATCCAAAATCCCGCAAAGCCAAACCCTTTGCCCCCCGTAATGGTCCACAATTTCTTGCCCCTGATCCCTCAGAACCTAGTCCTGAATTTCGACTGTTCTTTGCTTAAGCCTGGCCCCGGCTGGCTTCCGTAGATAATTTCCCTACTCTAAACCCCCTTTGCCCTCAACTACCAGCTAGCAAGCTGAGGGCCTTTTGAACTTTATCTTGTGTGTGTGTGTGTGTAGGTGTGTGTACGTTGAGTGTTGTGTGAGATGTGTGATGTTGTGTGAGATGTGTGTAGACACTACTAAGAGTTAATCTACGACGAATCTACCATTGGATGTTTATCCATGGGGTATGTGTGTGTGTGTGTGTGTGTGTGTGTGTGTGTGTGTGTCGCGTACATATGGTGCGGTTTCCCTAGTAAGATTAAGGCTATCAAAGCGAACACGTACTTAGGGTGCGGTTTCCCTAGTAAGATTAAAGCTATCAAAGCGACTGATTAGCCTTGGCTTTAAGAAACATACAATAAAAAATGAAACCTTTGCCTTTAGATAAGTGCTAGTTGAGGGCACTAGCCTACGGCTGTCCGTTCTTTATAAATTATAAAAAAAACGAAAGAGATCTTTCGCCGATTCCGAAAGCGTTCCGGGAAAAAATACCATACAGCCAAGCAATTAGAGGCATTGAACAGCAACGACAGACACTGAGTTAGAAGTGTGGCAACCTGCAAAATCTATTCTTCTCATAAAAACAACTTGTATCTTCCGATTAATCATCCAGGAACGAATAACAAGATCTATATTGCTCTCCACCACTACTAACTCTAGCTAGAATGGGATTTATCACAGGACCCAAAGAACTGTTGGCCACTTCCATTACCAATGCCCTCGATGAATACTTTGTCGTCGACACCTCAACGATCGAATCCACTTTGCTCGGACCCGAGAAGAAGATTGTATTGAAACAAGTCCAGGTACGGCCCAAGACCATATCGCCTCTGGTGGCCAAAAATGCTGGTGGGACGTCTACCATTTTGGATATCACTGGAACCGTGGAATTGGTAGAATTTAGCTGGGAATGGTCCACTTCAGGTGGAACCTTTGTCCAGAATGCCAAGCTGACCATTCAAGGCATGAACATCACGGGTGAACTCTCCAAGGGAGAAGTGGAACCTGAGCCACAACCAGGCGACGGCAATACTACATCGATTCTACCCAACGAGAGCGAAATTCAGGATCGGGATACCCTCGAACATGTGAAAAGCGAAGGCGGCATCAAGGGATACATTATGCGACAAGTCGCCATCATGATTGACAGTTTGACGTTGCATATCAAAGACTTGCAATGGACACTCAAGACACCCAACAATGACGGTGGCACGACGTCCGTCGTCGTGAAAGGAGAATCCATTGAGGTTAATTCCTTTGGCAGAGAAACCGATGAAATTACAAAGGAATTGAATGCGCATATTCGACAAACCTTAAAGGTGACAGGACTCCAATTTAATATAGTGGACGATCATGATGAAAGTAAGCAGACGACAACCATACCTCTGCTGGAACCGTTCAGTTATCAAGCTCAAATGATTCGGCATGGCAAACGATTTGGCAACCCATTGCGTGGTTTGACAATCACAGGAGAGTCTTTTGGTTCGAATGGTGTCGTTCTTCATGCCGGGCATGCCCAGCTATATGCCTGGAGTCAATTCTCCTTGATGCTTCTGGCTGCCAAGGACGAGTCGGCAGCAGCAGCGAGCCAGCAGACAAAGGAAGAACACCACGACCACGTCGAGGTTGGACTGGAGGACATACTACCCATCAAAGCAGAAGATTTGTCCGAACGGCCATCCGAATTCAACCTTGCAGCCCAAGCAATGGCATTGATAATTGCCGATGGCATGCAATTTAACTTCACCAGAGTGGGTGCCACCTACAAGGCGGATGGATCTAATTCGGCTTTGAAAGCAGAGCAGTTCACTTGGATTGAACAACAAGAGCAACGCCACCAACAGGGTGAGGAGGGACAAGAGATGGTCCAGTTGGCACACGTACAAGGCATTTTCATCTCGCAGACTCCCAATCTTGTCGTGGAAATGGAAAAGATTGTGTCTCTGAAAGTTCCCGGTACAGTGCAGTTGGTGTCACCGAGTGAACGAGCCCGCGTCGAATTCGAGGGACGAACCATGAAAGTCAAGTTGGAGACGTTCGAATGCCAATTCTTGGAGAAAGAGAACGGCGATGCGGAACCCGGCACCTCACAGCAAGAAGAAGAGAAGCAACCAGACCCGAAAGATCGCGTGAATACACAAGCACCCTTTCCCATTCAGGTCGCTGTAAATCGCCTTGGAGTTCAATCCTCCGATGCCGGCAGTCGGTCTCAATTCAAAGGACTCGAAATGTTCTTGAACCCGAGCGAAGAGGGCACGGAATTTGCAGCTGTGGTGGAAGAGCTCGATAACAAATTGGTGCACTGTACCGAAAACCTGGTTTGTGGATGTTGGCCCAAGACGGGATCGAACGAGATTCACAATCTCAAGCTTGCTTCCGACACGATCACTGTCTATGGTGGCCACTCAACCAATGAATGGATTGATACATTCCAATTGACAGGCGACAAGGAACAAACCAAGGCCCTCTTTGAGAAAAACAACAAAAGTGATGGAAAGGATCACCAAAAGGCAAAAGAAGAAGCCGAGAATAACCTTTGGATTCTCCCCCACTGTCGCGTGGAAGAGCTCAAGGTGCACATCACTTACGAAGGCGCCGTCGGTGTCAGAGATGTTAACTTCAAGACCGATCCTTTCATTGGCAAAGACAAGGCCACCGGAAAGGACATTGCGAATCACTATATTGTATTGTGTCTCAAGAACTTCCCCGGGTTCATAACCAATTCCGAAGTCCTCGGTTTGTCTGTTGTCGACATGGGCTTGAACACATACGGAACTTATCTTGGTCTTGCAACTCCATTCGGAGCGGCTGGTGGCCTCGCAGCCATCGCCGCGGTCGACACAGTGAAAGGAGCCGTGGCAGCTGGGAAGAAGGCTCGAAATGCGGATCAAGAAGACAAAGCCCAGCTAACAGATGTTGTCCGTGGAATCGGCTATGCGGCTGTTGATGCCACCAAAAGAGGAGCTTTGCGGCGAGGAAAGAAAGATAGTGAGAACCTCAATGTGGTGGACTGGGTTGAAGGTGTCACCCATGATACAACAAAGTATGTTGACGACAACAAAGCCAGATTAGGTGGTGCGGGCGGTGCAGGTGCTGGGATGCTCGTGGGGACGCTTCTTGGCGGTCCTGTGGGAGGCATCATCGGCGGTATACTCGGAGGCGCCACCACACAGAAGACGATAGAAACGCTAGAGAAACAAGTCAGCAAGTGAGCCTCCGACCAGTTATCACTCAGGCGTTCGGCCACGAAAAACATTGAAGCCTACGGGCACTCCTTTGGTCAGAGTAAAGACCAACCCAATAAAGAGAACATCTGCGCTGACGAGTTCGTATAAGCTGGCTAGGTTTTGATGTTGCCAATGTGTCATTACCTAGCTAGGAGAGGCAAACATGATTCTTTGGTGGAACCGGAGGGATTGCTGATGGCGAATCGGTACTTTTCAGGCGGATCCCCAGCCTATCGGTTCCAACTCTTGGGATCCTGGGGTGAAGGAGAAGGACATGCAGCAATAGATACGCAATCGTCCAGTTTGCCCTTTCCGTTCGGTGCGAGCATTACCTGAATTGTACATTGGCTTTTTCGGTGACCCCCATAAGACAACAGCCCAGTAGCAGCTAGAAGGTGGAATCGGACAAACTCGCCGAGCCTCTCCTTCTGCAGCCATTTCTCTATGGTGTTGCTGTTTGTTTGTTTTCAGTTTCCTTCGAAGATTGAGGTGGATCACACTAGCCCCTTGTCATGCGCATCGCTTTGTAGCAAAGCATGGCTTTCCGCACTGGCAGGAGTGCTGGGTGGCGTTGTTGGGACGCTTCTTGGCGAAATAACCTCGCTGGTTGGAGTTGCAACCACAGGGGGACCTGGCATGTTACTGCTACTACTGCCGGGGCGACGTTCGACTCGTGTGAGTTCACTAAAGTCACCCTTTTTGGTGACGACCAACACGATAATCAATCCAATAGTAGTAAGGAGAGCCCCCACTAAGGATACCAAGACAGAGTGTTGTCGAATGGGACTCAATGTGGGTGGCGGTGGTGTCATGGTCGGCAGCACAGTTTGCGGGCTTGTCGTGGGCGGCATTGTGGATGGAGCCACCGTAGGTACTGCCGTTGGTCGTAGGGTGGATGGACCCACGGTCGTTGGAGCCACGGAAGGGGCTATGGATGGCTGATTCGTGGTGAGCACAGTACTGGGTATAGCACTGGGCCGACTGGATGGATGGTTTGTGAGGACTATAATCGACGAGGATTGCGGGGGAGCCACAATCGTTGCGCCAGAAGTAGGCGATCCTGTGCTGCCAATAGTAGGCAACTCTGTGACAATAGTTGGTGCAGCTGTTGTGGCCTGAATCGAGGGGGCGGTGGACGGCATTGGCGAGGTGGGGTTCACGGTAGGTGGCACTGTTATCGTTGTTTGGGATGGCTCTGCAGAAGAAGCTGCGGCTGTGGGCGTTACGGATGGCACATCTGACATCCGAATACATTCGCCCTGACATGTTTGCCCGACACAGTCGTCAATGACAAAAGGATCTTGTGTATTGTTGCTGCAATCCAGCGCCACCACAAAGTCGTCCGAGGTACTACTGTCACAGACTTGACAGTCGCATGCTTGAATAATGTCTCCAAAGACCGTTGCTCCTAGACATTGACAATCATTCTTGTGGTCAAAAGAACCAACACTACTAGTGGGAAGAGTACAAACGATGGCGGCTTCCAAGAATTTGGTGTTGGTTGGATCATTGTTGGATGTCAAATTGGAAAAATGTTGGCAAAAGTACTGATGTGGTCCAATATCACCCTCGTCCACTAATTCACATTCTCTCAAGTTGGTATTTGTGATGGGTGCTTCTGTTGTCATGGTGGTGTTTTGAATGATACTAGTATCAGGATTTGTAGCGGGTGCTTCTGTTGTAGTAGCATTTTGGATGATATCATTGCAGGAGGGTTCTTGACAAGCCAGTCCCTTGGGGTCGTCGTTGTTGTTTCCATTATTACTATTTTCTCCCACACAAATGGCCAAGGTCTGCAATTCCAAGGCACAATAGGTCATGCAGCAATTCTCATAAGTCGTACAAATGGTTTCGGCAATACCCGCGCAAGTCAAGAGCCCCGTGTTTTGCTGCGAACCAGTTGTGGTGGCGTTGGTAGGACAGACATTGGCAAAGTCGCGACATTCCGAGCGCAGACAAATTCGCAGGACCCGATAAGGCATTTGGCAGCTGTCGATGGACTCGGCCAAACTGGTTGTCAATATCACGCCATTTCCCAATGGCAGTGCAAAATCGGGACCCAGTAGACCGGCATCATCAGACGGTTGCCCTTGAGTGTGATGATTGTTATCCAAACAAAGAAGAAGCAGCGATAATAGTACTGGCCATGGATGGAGGAATCTCATGGTTCTGGTCAGAAAGCTAGGAGAACGCCAAGTCAACGTACTACCTGTAGCTCTAGCTAGAACAACAGCCACACCTCGGCACCGTTTGTTGTCGATATGTGCGCACAAGACTCTCACTTCACTTCATGGCCTCCTTTTGACTTTCACGATACTTCTCGTATTTGATTGTGTGTGCTTGGGTAGTCTAGCTAGAGCTACATGTAGTAGACTGACCTGTCTCGACTTCGCGATGATTGAAACGTTGGTTTTCATTTTGTGAATGGATGCGGAAAGCAGTTTTTACAAGGACGTGACCCGACTCAAATGACCCAGTGGTTGTTAAATCTCCGGGTCGCCGCCTGTAATTTTGGTACGAATCGAATCACATGCAAATTTGGCTCCTCCATGCCACATGCCAGCACGCAGCGTAGCAACCCCGCCAACTTGTGAGGATGTATGGTAGTTTACCAGGTAGTACCTACATGCTACATGTAGCATGGGGTAATTAACTAAATCAATTTCCAAACGTTTACTCCACCTACGGATTGATTTGTAAAACAGTGAATCTGCCGAAACTTACCCGCGCATGGGTATTCCCAAAAATGGAAGAGGAGCTTTGACACCAACCTCTCGAAGCGGTCATCCTCCTCATCTTTTCCATTGCAAGCAGTATCATATCTTGACGGATCGAAAACTCGATTAGTAACAACAAACGGGCAATCAATCAATAGTACTACAGTACGTATTGGCAGTTGACAACACTCAACCAACCATGGCAGCAGAAGAACCTGGTCCTTACGACCACCTGACAGACGAGGAGAAGCAGGCACTGGTCCGTGGCAAGTGCAATTTTTTGGCACTCTCGCTGCTCTCGACCGTTGCCTTTATCCAGTCTGGCACAGCAGCAGGATACTGTGATTTTGCCTCTCGTCAAGTCAATTTCGTTTCTGGCTTTGATCAGCAACAAGCATGTTCCAACTTGAACCTGACCAGATTTGACTCCAACCGCGAATACTACGAAAATATGTGCAATGTCTTTTTCACCCAACACGGGGTCGGATTCTATGGCTGGTATGCCACGGTGCCCGTCGATACGCAACTCTGTTTTACCTACGATCAGTTTGTTACGGGAACTGGATTCGTCCAAGTTGAATTTGATGCCGCCTTTAATGCCGCCAAAGTCTTTGCCGTCATGGCAAATCTGTGGGGGGCGATGGCCTGGTTTACCATCATGTTCAGCAGCTGTTGCCCTTTGGACAATGCCAGAATCAAAGGCTTGAGTTGCTACTTTAGCTTGGCTTACATATGTCAGGCGTTCACATTTCTCATATTTGCCAGCAATGTGTGTCAAAAGGGCTTTCTCGCGCAGTACTTTCCCAATTCATCTTCTTTCAATGATATTGTGGACAATGTCACTTGTTCACTTGGGTCTGGTGGCAGTGTTTCTGTTTCGGCCACTGTCCTTTACTTTATATGCAGCTTGTTGGCTCCCATGTCATTGGCACCCCTGCCCATTGGATACCGACCCGTACCACCTCCACCACAGACAACGGATAATGTCAACCAAGCGACTGGTGTTTGAGTCATAATAAGGCATGGGCCAATTCGAAACTGAGTTGGACGAGTTGACAATTTGCAAGTATTGGTTGGGCCAATTCCCATTACGGTATGGTTGCTTGGCACTTTAGTTTTGTTGCTGCAATGCGAGGAGCAAGATGTTATTTGGTGCAGTAGAATGTTCGTGCATGTTTCTTTAATGATATCATACAAGCGGTGGAGCCAATACGCCCAGTTGCTTGCTTGCCTGATTGAATGCACTGTAGTTTGCATACTGATTGATTGAATGGCTCTGTAGACGCTTGATGCCGTTAGGCAACAAAGAAGGGTGGAGTTAGAGAAGCAGCCCAGCACAGCGCTCCGTTCCAACTGGGAGGGAGAGAACAGTAGATCGTGGACCTAGCCAGTCATCTTTACCCTGACAAGGTGCAAGGTTCTGCTTCTGCGATCATGTTTACTGTGACAAGCTCTGGGTTGTACATTCTAGCAACGCAAACCATTGTTCTGTAGCGTGGCGTTAGTCGCCAATGTATGTTATTAGTATGTATGTTCGAGGTCGTGGCCTCATACGTATTTTTCCAGACGAAGATTGCATGAATTGGCCGCCTGATGGCCGGTGGTGGCCGAAGATTGATCTTCGTGAATTCGATGCCAGAGGGACGTCTGAGCAACGGGACATTGGCTCCGTTGTTCTGCCTCTAAAGATCCTGCAGCGATTCGTATGCGCTGAGGACGTTGCCAATATTGTGATACACTGTTGCAGTATCTTTCTCTTTCCCAATCACTGACTTCCAAATAGCGAGCGCTTTGCGGTACTCCACCCGAGCCCCCTCGTAGTTTCCTTGCTCGTGTAGTATTGTGCCAATGTCATAATGAGATTTGGCTGTCACGGGGTGGTTCCTACCAAAGACAGTTTCCTGCCGAGTCAATGCTTTTTGGAACCACGTCAACGCCCCGTCGTAGTCGCCCTTGGCTCGATTGGCAGTACCAAGGGCGTTTCCAAGCACGCAATAGGCAGCAGCACGGCCGGTGACAGGAGGTGCCTCTGGTCTTTTGTATCCATATGCCTGTGCCGGGTAGAAAGTGCGTGCTGCTGCCGCACCAGCACTTTTCCCGTTTGGGGGGAGTACCTCTCTTGTGTCAGCTTGCCTCGCAGGAGGGCTCGGAAGAATAGCGCCAGTGGCCCCTTGTTTCCAAGCCTTCAACTGGAACTTCACTCCTCGATTGAGTGAGATGCTTCCACTCTCACCAACACTACTGCTGCACGTTGCAGTTGTAGCGTCATCGACCTCTGAGGATGTCCACGCGGACTCGGATCCGAATTGGCTCTCTGTGTCCATGGTGACCGTGCTCTCGTCCATTGCCCCTGCGTGACCCATCTCCGGATCATTCAAGGACAAAGAGGGGGGTTTGGCCGTCCTGCTCCTGTAGTCCTCTTCGTACCACTGGACCATACCATTCCCCAACCGATTAACAATCTCTGGAAGCAGGCTTTCGTGGAGGCCCTGACGATGCGGCTCGTAAGCATCGGCTCTCGGTGCACCTTTTGGTGGGTTCTCGTGTAAGAGTGACTGATAGTGAACCATGTCAGCTTCAAACATTTGAACCAGCCACTCCTTGAACACTACCTCTGCCAACTCTGTGCTCTCGTGGGCCCATTGTTCGCTCACCTCCATAGCACGTTCCTTCAGCCTCGTCAAACCAGAGAGGGTGAATTTTCTGTTGGCAATGGGCGGGCTACTTGAAACGACGACGGCCAACGGTTGTGGTGGTGGCTGAATAGAACCCACTGTGGGCACCGCGTCCTTCTTCTTGCGCTTGGTGGTAGTCTTGCGATCCAGCGTGGACCTTCCCCCGTTGTTCTTGATCTCATCCCGCAAACATTCGTCACTGGCAGGGACGACTTTCATGAACTCCTTGTCACTGACCGGGGCATAACGGATGTCATCGATGTCGGTAGTCCACCCAGGCCTGTTCTTGTTGGTTACGGTTGCCACGCTCACCCAAAAGGTTACCCTGGGAAAGGCATCGTTATCACCGGCAGCACTGTCTGTGTCGGCCCTACATCGGTAGTAAGCGTCTTGGAGGGCCTTCAAACACACAATCTCAGTGTCTGTCAAGCGCTTCTTTCCATAAGCAAAGCGCACGTAGTCTTTCCAGACCTTGGTGGCTTGTGTGGGCGAACTGTTGGCTTTCAAAACAACGTGGTAATGTTCCAGCATTGGGATTTGTCTCTGTTCTGGAACATGGTCGTTCTGGTTTATTTGCGGGTCGTTGGGTGGGATGTGGTTGTTTTGGGCGATTCGCATGTCGTTGGTGTCGCGGTTTTCCATCGGCACATCTCCATCCTCCGAAAACATGATGCCTTCGAGCATGACAGCATCTGCGGGTGAAAACCATCCCTCATCCGTGCCATCCACACCCAACTGGCTGGCACCATCAACAGGAGCGGGAAGACCGGCCATTTTCGATGTGTTGCTGGTGATGATGAGTGTGTATTGGATGGAGTGTTGACTGAAGAAAGAGGTGCGAGTTCAAAGGAAGACACCTTCAGAAAAAGAGGACTTGTCCAGACGTGTTACTCCAGCAATTCGTTAACTCTGTCTTTGTTTGTTCAAGTAGAGTACTTTCAACAGCGCTTGCTGAGGAGTGAAAGGCGTGCCCTTTTGATGCCCTCACAATTAGCCTTATTTGGCGGACACGAAGGGTTAAACATCGAATCGAATCGAGTCGAATCATTCGATTCAATTCGATACAATGGACAAATCCTTCGAAAATCGAAGAAAAGAACCAAACACCAAACCACCAAACCACAACGAAGAGACACAGGAAGCATCTTAGCAACCCTTGACGACACTTCAACCCGAGAGAACGATTGTAAACCATGGGAAAGGCAGAGAAAGGCACACCGAAAGACATTGCGAAGCGCATCAAGTCAAAGGGGCTTCAAAAGCTCAAGTTCTATTGCCAGATGTGTGAGAAGCAATGTCGCGACGCCAATGGCTTCAAGTGTCATGTAAGTCAAATTCATGGAGCCACTCCTTGCGTGGCATAGATGATCCATATGGGTGTTTCTTACTGATTTCTCCTTTCTTCATTTCAGATGACATCAGAGGCTCACTTGCGACAAATGAAAATGTAAGTACTAGCTAGCTAGCAGCGATGCAAGGATGTATTTTCCCTTCTATGATCTCATGTTTCTATCGTGTACATTTCTCTCTCTCACTCAATCAGATTTTCAGAGAATGCCAAAGGAATCATGGACAGATACTCGCGCGAATTCGAGTCCTCTTACCTTCAAACTCTTCGACAACGTCACACGACGAAACGAGTCAATGCCAATAACGTGTATCAAGAAGTCATTCAAGACAAGCAGCACATTCACATGAATTCCACTCGCTGGGCCTCATTGAGTGACTTTGTCATGTACCTTGGAAAAAAGGGAAAATGTGTAGTGGACGAAACCGAGCGGGGGTGGTATGTCCAGTACATTGAGGTCGATGCTGGTATCTTGGCACGCCAAGCGGCACAAGAACGACGTGTCGAGGCGGAAAAGGCTGCCGAGATTGCACAAGCCGAACGCATGGAAAAGCAACGCATCGAAGCTGCCAAGGCGTTTGATCTGGTAGGAGGGACCGTACACAGAGAAGCCACCAAGTTGGAACGGGATGAATCCACGGCGGCAGTCAAGGTTTCTCTCTCGAGTAAGGACAAGAAAAAAACAACCAACAAAACGAGTTCCAAGCTCGGATTCTTTGCAGATGAGGATGATGAAGCCAGTGATGACGAAGACGCACCAAAATCAGACGCCATAGTGCTTCCCGAAACGACACCCAATCCGTCTGCAACAACCAGACATATTAAACGAAGTGTACCCCAATCAGCAAGCGATAAAGATTGTGAGCGGGAATCTTCCAAACGACCTAGGAAAGCGGAAGAGAAAATGGCCAATGATCAAGACACTGCCAAACCCAAAAGCGACAAATCTACAAGAGACGAAGACGAAAAGCCATGGTTGAAACGGGACATTATAGTACGAGTCGTGACCAAAAAGCTACACGACGGAAAGTACTTTCGACGCAAAGGTATTGTGGATCGGGTACTGAAAGACAACAAATTCTGTGCCGAAGTCGAACTGCTGGATTCCAGTCCGGACCAACGCGATGGTGGGGATATCCTTCGCTTGGACCAGAACGATTTGGAAACGGTAGTGCCAAAAGAAGGCAAAAAGGTTCGAATACTAAAGGGAGAGTTCCGCGGAGAAAAGGCCAAGTTGATCTCGGCCGACAAGAAAAAGTACCGAGCCACCCTGAAATTGTTGGATGATGGGACGGTTTTGGAAAAGATTGATTTTGAAGATTTCTCGCAGTTGGCATGAACAGAAAGCAATTCAACTCATTAGGTCCTTGTTGGATTGTGTCTTGAACGAAGCCATTACTTTGGGTTGCAATAGTTGTATCATGGCATTTCTGTCTGGAATATCATGGCATTTCTGTCTGGAATAGTATAGCTACTTGTGCCAGAAGCTGGAAACTAGTCTACGTTCTTGTGGTGTGTTTGTGTTTGGGCTCCTACCTACTACTGTGATCCACCTTTGTCCCCATACCGGTAGCTGCATTCCTTAGGGCTATGTGTGGACGCGTCAGCATCAAGAAAAATAGCTTACTTGCCGCGACAGGTCCTTCCGGTCACCACATTCGAGCTTTGCATGGCCTTAGCAAATGGGCCAAGCCGAACTCGGGACAACAACCCCGGCCGTCCCAAGAAAGGGCGAACTCCACCGGATGCCCTTGTCGTGGGTTTTTGGCCTGAGCCCGAAAGATGGGGTGCTCCAAATAATGACCTGTCACGGCACCGCCGCTGATACGGTAAAACCATACCGTTTGAATGATTCGAAAGAAAGATACCAATACCTAAAAAATTATGCAGTAGTAGTAATTCAATTACTTCTTTTCCCAATTCGAATGGCAGCTTGGCACACAACGCACAAGCCCCTATTTTGCATTGGGAAATGTGGATTGCGAGGTATGGAGTCTCATTTTTGGGTAACGAATGCGCTGGGGAAATGCATTCATCAAAAGATCAGTCAGTCAGTCGTATGTATATTGTTGCAGCGTGTTGTTGTGTGGTTCGTTCTCTGCGTTTATTTTGCGTCCTTCTTTTTCTTCTTATTCTTTCATGGAGTTTGCCGACCCCTGAAAGGCCACACCCGTTCCCTTTAACCGCGAAAATTTGTTCCCGACGCGGTTTTTGCGTTTGGATTTGGCAACGGTCGTGGCGGGTGCCGCCGGTGCGACGGATTCACCGGCAATGGTTTTCCCGCCGTACTAGCCATGGCACTTCCGGCCGCAGCCGCTTCTGCAGCGCGTCGTGCCGCAGCTTCGGCCCGTAATTTTCGCACGTCCACCACATTGCCTTGTGCATCTTGTAGTTCGGCGGGTTTTTTCCCATCCAAGCGGGCACCTTGTCCGGCACCTACATTGACGGCCCAATAATCTACTTCGGGTGCCTTTTCCGGAATGGCGGCATTGGGTTGTACGCCGGTTTCACCCGACTTGGTGGCCATCATGGATGTGGTGGGTCCTCCGTTTGCGGCAGCTTCGTCGGGTCGAATAATTTTTCCATTGACAATTCGAATTCCAGTGGGACTGTCGTTGTTTGTATTATTGTTGTCGTCTCCCATGTCGGTGACGGAGGACGCCGAAGACGCCGTGGTGGGACTGGGGCATTCGGACCGTGGTCCATCTGGTTTGAGTGAAGAAGCGGCCGACCCCATGGAACTGGGTGCGGGCTCTTTGTATCCAACGGGTGCGTCAAATTCCAAGTTACAGTCCGTTTCGACGATACAAGCGGCATCTTGCGGTTTTACTTCGCGCAATTCGAATTGGTAATTCTTGTTGTTGTAGGGGATTTGGATGACGTCTCCCTTGGTGACACAGGTATAGTTTCGGAGCGCAAATTCGAGAACCGCTTTTGGATTGGAAATGTCAAGGAAATCGACATGCTGAGGTTTGAGTTTGATCATGGTTGCTTTGGGGAGACTGACATTAGCGACGGTGATGACGTCTCCTTCTTGGATGAGTAGGTTCTGCATCATCCAGTAGGGAATGTAGCAGGACCCTTCTTCCGCTGTAAATTCCAAGACACCACAGTGAGTGGTCTGGTTGGTCTCGGCGCTCAGACGAAACAACATGGGATAGTCCACATTCAGACGAGCCAATGTGTCAAATGCCGACGGCGGCAACAGAATCTTGTCTCCTTTCTATTAGTACAAGACATTTTCCCAAAGTCAATCCACCAACCGACACCAAAAATCAAGAGAAAAATGAATCAGAAAAAGACGCACAACGTTAGCAATCGCAACACCACAAGTCCGAACCCACCGCTCCCAGTCACACACATCCAACAACAACACCCATCACACAACGAACGAAGGACCCACTCACCTCCAAATGCGCCTTGTCCGCGAATGACACACTATAGCAATGATACTGTTCTTCAAAGCGATGACTTCGGCCAAAGCCTGCTCCGCCCATTCCTCCGAATCCGCCCCACATGGTCTGTCACTCTTTCTTTGTTAGTAAGTTAGTGGGAAATTGGAAATATGCTGATTGGTGGTCTTGTATTGTGTCGTGAGCTCGTTGTTGGCAAATGACAACGGTCCTGGGTTACTGTTCGCCGCTCTGCGCACCGCCGAAATGCAAGTAGAGTCACGTCTGAGAGTCAAGGCAATCAATCGCTTTATGGATTAAACGTCTCTTCTTCTCTGTTGGTCTAAAAGTAGTCTTGTCTACTCTTCCAACTAAGTGAGGTCTGTTGATCGTTCTACAAAAAGAAATGGCAAAGCCGGGAGCAGTTGATGATGGTTGTGGGCCGGATGACGACAGCAGACACCGGTCACTGGAGTTTTGTCGCTCGTCCTCTCAGAATTTTGCACAGGTCAAACCAAAGTTCTCCCACCTTCCTTTCTCTTCTTTTCCTCAGAAATGGGCAAAACTTGCTGCCAAACCCTGGGCCCTAAATTCTCGTCCTCGTGTTTTAAATTTTACAAAAAGGAACCCAACCAATGCTCCCCTACTAGTAGTCTGGCCTCGACATTCTTGTTTACTAGGATGCTATCTAGAAGCTAGCTACTAGGTTTGACATACGCGTTGGTGTAGATGGCTTCATAGCTACTCCAGCCACAGTTAGATCAAGTCAGAGAGTGCCAAGCAAAGTTGTTGCTCACAAGCTCCAGTGTCCACAATCCCAAGGGTTTGAAATTGAGATACATGTAGCGAAAGCGTCTGTTTGCTGAAAGTGAATTCCATACATCATCCTTATTATTTTTATCGGTCAAGGCACTACATACATGTCTATTGTGATGTCCACCGTTTTCAGCAGTTCTTGGCTAACACGGAATAATTTCTCCTGGTTTTCGGTTTGCATCCGCCGCTTTATCTTGCGTTCGTCAGCTGCTTTTAATCCTCGTTGATACAGGACACTTTGGTGGTTCGTTTCTTCTCTTTTTGCTTGCCCATCATCCACCAACAGCAGCATGATATTCTTGGCAGCTTGCTGGGCAGAAATTCCAATGACATGACCCGCCATTCCTGCCATCCAACGAAATGCAGTGGGCATGGCTGCCAGCAACTGCGTATCCCCCACGTATCCAGGACCGTAGCAATACCATTCAATCTTGGGGTGGAGTTGTTGGTAGCGCAACATTTGCATGTCATTGGCAATGCTTTCGTGTTTCAAGGCGTGCACGCCATTGTAGCTCTTTTCACCTTGCAAATTGTCCCAATCCAACTGGGAGGGGTGCCTAGTGATGGAACCACCGGCAGAGACCACCACTACCACGGGCTTTTCTTCTTGCTCGTGGCTATTCTTGAGCAGGAGGGGAGCCAAGAGATGGTTTAAATAGAACCTAGCCAAGAACTGAAGGGCAAACACAGTCTCTAGTCCTTCCTTGGTCACGGTTCTTTGGGGTAGCATGACACCTGCACAATGGACAATGGCATGGAGGGGTTCTGCTGATTTCTCCAGTTCTGCCGCCAAGGCTTTGACCTCGTGCATGAGGCTCAGATCATACTGATAAAATGTCAGGCAGCATTGTCTTTGCTCTGCGTTCGTCAATAATTCCTTTTGGTACTTGTCAAACTTGTCTCGTGATCTTCCCACAATGGAAATCTTGGGATTCTGTTCGGTGGCCACTAGTTGCGACACCAGTGCAGCACCAATTCCCTCCGATCCTCCAGTGATCAAGTAGTGTCGTCGTCGTCGTCGATCGGACGACGATGTTGTAGCCGTAGCCATATTATTGTTGGCGAATAAATAAATGAGATGGACTGGACGTTTTCAAAGCGGGGCCAGATAGCTAGACTAGTACCAGTGTCAGAGTTGGATGCAATCTCACTTGGCATTCACAAGGCAATATTGCAATGTCCAAAAGTTCATCAGCGGTGGGAATTCAACATCTACCGTAGCATTGGCAAGAGAGCGATGGTCTAAGGACATTCACCCCTGGCTACTGAGAGACAACTCCATCAAGGACGAACATATATCCAAGTGAACGACCAAAGACCAAAGCCATACTAGTACAGTACTAGTACCGATGAAGGTGGTTACGGTATTAGCAGTACCAAATTTTAACGAATTTGGCTGCCTTAGAGCAAGATTGTTGTCTCAAGAGAGGCCATAAAGCATGCCAAATTCAACAAGATAGGCGAAGTTGGGTGTGTTTGTGATGAAACGAATGAAGAATGAAGATCAATGCAAAATCTTTGCGGGAACCTTTTTGAAGCGTAGGTTTCTCGACAGAGGTTCGGGCTACCGTTAGATACTGGTACATATACAGTCCCATTTTCAAATTTAAAAGAACAGACAGCCGTAGGCTAGTGCCCTCAACTAGCATTTATCTAAAGGCAAAGGTTTCATTTTTGATTGTTGTTTCTTAAAGCCAAGGCTAAGAATTCGCGTTTTATAGCTTTAATCTTACTAGGGAAATCGCACCTATGTACGTGTTGTAGCCTTAATCTTAAGGGAAACCGCATATGTACGCGACACACACACACACACACACACACACACACACACACACACACACACACAAGATAAAGTTCAAAAGGCCCTCAGCTTGCTAGCTGGTAGTTGAGGGCAAAGAAGGCTCATTTTTGTTGAGAAGACTTGACTTGCGGTACATTTTACTTTTTACTTTGCACCCAACTTTGCACCACTTTTATACCCCAGAGAAGACCGATCAAGACACCATGAAGCTTCAATTGGTATTCACTGCTATCCTTGGCTTTGTCCCCGTGGCCCAGCCAGCAAAGGTTCGATTCCTTGAAGTATCTCAAGCCTGTATCGATGCTGATGCTGCGCTGGAGGATAACGAACAATTGATTGCATCTTCTGATGATGCAAGCAACGAGCTTAGCAGTGCTCTGATCGCCGCTGATGGGAATGATGACGGGTTTTGCTCTGTTGTCGCCAACACGAGTTTAGTTTGTACGGATATTGACTTTGATGAAGTGACTCCATCGCAGGATAAGATCATCACGGCGTGCTATGGTATCAGTGGCGCCCGGGCTTACAAAGCCAACATTGACCTTCAATGTAGCGGTGAACAGACTGTTGCAGCCTCCTTCTCCAACGTGGTTGGTTGCTTCCCCAAGGAATGCTCTGATGATGAGTTGACGGAATCCGCCAGTGCTGCGACGTCGGATCTCAATGACGCTCTTCTCCTCCTTGTTGGCGGCGGAGACGGTACTACCTGTAATTCCACCATCACCGAAGCAAAGATTGTCCCGAATCCTTCGGCTGCATCATCGACCCATAGCATCATGGTTGGAATTGCCATCGCCGGGATTACGGCTCTTTTGGGTGCCTCAAGTGACATCTGGTAGAATTGAATCATTCAATCGATGGTTTCCTTCCATGGCTATTTTCAGATTTCCAAACTTTTATGCTGGTGCATTTTTGGATGTGCATCTGTGAAAGCAAAAGCATGTTTGCGTTAAAACAGCATGTAACATTAGTAGTGGTTCCGTTGTACGATATTCTATATGTCTTATGTCCCTACTAGTCAAAAAAGGTAGATTTGAGTATTCCCTGTCAAGCACATCACTGCGTTTTGGTTTCTCAGAACCATCCATAAACCATGTTCACAAGTTCGTTGAAAACTGGCACCTGCTGTCTAGCCTCTGTTTGTTGCCTGCCTGGATCCTTGAACCTGATCTTCATTGTCGAAACTACTGAAATAGACTATACCGTCTTAGCGTACACAAGTGTACCGGAAATTATTTGACAGATTCTCTATTCTGAGTTTGTTTCTAGTAGATATGAAGGCATGCTCAGCTATTGCTTGCAGGTTACTACCTGTATCTGATTTGCTTGCTTTCTCTTGTGGGGTCCTACGACTTTGTCCTTCGTTTGTTGTTGCCCTTCGCCTTCTTCTTCAGCGCTCTTAGGAAATGTGGTGCTGGATAGGGATGCTCTGGACTCGCTGCAACTTCCATGCAGGACTCTTGTAATTGTTCCAAACTGGAGTAGGGATCAAAATTGGATTCCTCCTTGCTTCGCTTTCCCTTTTTATGTTTTTTGGTGGATGCTGCCAGGGGTGCTGTTGGGAGTGTCGGAGCGGACATGTTGTTGATTTTCCTCTTTTGCATTACCTTTTTCATAAATTCATAAACTGTAAACTGAATCCCAATCATGGGAACCACACTGACCAGACGAGGAGGTAGTCCCCGGTAGAATGACTTGATTCCTTCCTCACGAGCCACTCGCACCGCGCAATCCACAATGCCCTTGTAGGGAACCGTACCCGCTGCCATGCTTTGTGTGACTAGGCGTGTTTTGATGGTATCCATGGGAATCATGATTGTTACTGTGGTACCACTCGCAATGCATCCCATGATGGAATTTTCCATGTTGGTGGCCTCTCGTCCCGTAAGCTTTCGTTGTACCTCTTTCAGTTGTTGGAAGAGTGTCCACGTCAGCGCCTAATTTGAATGGATCCAATGTAAAAAGAGTGAGAACGAAACGATAATTGTGGTAGGATGCATGAATGCTTGCTAGGAAGAACTTACATAGGATGGAATCTTTCCGACCAACCCTGGCCACCATCCCCGAGCATAAAACCCACTGATACCTCCTTGTCCAATTCCACGGACTGCATCGGGAAGGTTCTTGTAGTTTCCGGCCATGATATTGTCCGTGATCATCATTTGGGGTGTGGAGACAACCGAGCAGCATACCGTCGAAATGGCCGACGACATGAAATCCAATGCCGGTCCCAAGCGTTCTTCTCGTGATGCCAAATACTTGGACGCTCGGACGCCCCGTCCCAGTTCCTTTCGGACCATTTCCAAAACGGCAAAATTGATGGCGCCGTGAGGAACGCTTAGCACAAAATTGGCTCCAGCACCACGAAGGAGGATTGGCAATTGGGAGGGTCGTAGGTATGCCATGATGGGTCCGGCATTGGATTGTTGCAATAGAGTCTTCATGGTATTGGCTGGATGCATGACGGTTTGCGCCACAGAACGACTAATGGCTCCACACACCATACTTTCCCAAAAGACCAAGGGCCGAGGTTCCCCAATGGCCAAAGCGGCTGCCGCCGTAGATTGTACAGATTTTGGTTGATTGCGGGTAGATTCCTTGTTCTTTCGTGAAGATTGTTGTTGACGAGACTGCAGAGCCGGTGAAAAAGATGCCTGACTCCCAGAGACTTTGCTAGAAACCGCCACTGCAGCGCACGGTACCACATCATGGGATTGGCTGTTTCTTCCTACGAGAAAAGTAGGAAGTTTGAGCGCTCTCCGAAAACCAAAGGTAGGTTCCCTGGTTGTTCTTCGAGTACGGGATGCGTAACTGACAGCGTGATCTTCTGGAAACAGTGCATTCCATTCCTCATTATTATTATCATGAAAATTGGATGATGGTGCCCATGAATCTATCTCGTGCGTTGGCTTCTCATCATTGCCAGCCCATTGAATGGAGGATCTCTTGTTGTTCCGTGAAACAAACGGATGAGAATTGGCGGCAGATCTCACTCCTATTCTGAGTGGTGCAGTCCATGATGTTGATGATGATGATGTCCCACCAAAGCGATTCGCCGTTATGGTGGAGCAATGAATCAAAAGCACCAAAGCTACCGCGTATCGGCTACCGCCAACGGCAAAACCAACTCGATTCTCGCTCTTTTCTAGTGCCATGATTTTGTTTTGTTGTGAGACCTTCTTCTTCTAATATCTGACGGAACACCAATTGCTTCGTTTGTTTTAGTTAGGTGTGAGTGATGTTATGGATGAAGCTGCCGAGTGATTCGATTCGGTTCAGTCCGAACGTGCCGTTGTGCTTCCTCCAAAAGGCAAAAGGCATCTGCCTCGGATTGATCGATGGAGGTGATGGGAAGTGTCATTTGAGAAAGACAGGTGGCGATTATTTGGTGGGAGTCCCAGTCTTCGGATGACGTGGTGGGAATCGCAAGCACAGTCCCAAGATACTCATGACTTGCTACATTAGCCGCAAGAGCTGCTTAAATGTCCTGTACGCAACCCCATCTTCAAGGCATCCATACTACATGTACCGGTATCGTTATCAATATGGGTAGGTTAGTCAACGGGGGTTAGGTTTGCTTTTTCGTCTTCTTCCTGAAGCTACCATACCCAGCTAGCTCTCTAGCAGAGAGTTGGAAAATCAGTTCCTTGGGGTCGTGTTCGTCTTGTTGAACACATTAGCAGACCGCGCGGGCGGAGTGCAGATCTTGGGCACTGGCTTGGACCTGAGTTGTTCGGGGGATGGGGGCAGGAAGGGTGATTTGGAACAGCCTTAGCTAGTATTAGGTGTCACCGAGGGCAATGCGTGGGAATTGTTGGGTGCACCCCCTAGCCTCACAGTCGGCATGCATTCTTGGCGTTGCTGTCTACCGGTACGGTGCTGAAGTTGTTTTCTTTCTTCACTTAGCAAAATACCGATTCGATTGAGCCCAATTCGGCAAAATAGCCTCTTCCTAGCTAGTATTCGTCGTCTTCTACCCCTACCAGGTACTGTACAGGCTTCTCGCCCCAGTTGCCATGGCAAGTTGGCACCGACCCCCTGAGGAATGCTCGCTTGCTGCATTTGATGGGTCCGATACCCCCATTCAGTCAGCATGCAAGTTGTTTCCCTTGCACGGAGCGCTGTTCGTCGGCCAAATATTCCCGCGGATCCAGTCTCGTCTTCAAGGTTCTCGACACAGTTGCCATGGTTAGCAAGTTGGCTTGTGCACTAGCCTAGCTAGCTAGTACCTGTAGCCACTGTAGTAGTGCATATCCATCTACAGCAGAGATGCCTCCTCTGGACTCAGCCACCAGGCCACCAAGTGGTACATGTCATGTACGGCCGGTACCAGGTAAGGTATGCGTGGCTAGTGCCTAATGAATGACGATCGACCCCATTGATGGGCTGGCCACTAGCCAGCCGGACAGCGCAGGGCATACGGTATCCATCTACAGTACAGGTGCCACCAGCAGTCACCAGGCCACCAAGTACATGTCATGTATATGCGCATAGATAGTGATTGACCCATTGGCACCGGCAATAGGAGGCAACCATCCATGGCTCCACCCATCAAATAAATCTGAATGGCCAGCTACCGGTACATGTACTTATGGCCTGTCAAGCAACAGGCCACCAAGTATCTAGGAGCTATCATAGGTTCCGCTAGCTCTTGGTAGACTCTAATGGCTACTAGCTAGACCTCTGGACAGTTGACTGGCAATAGTTTACTCGAGTAGGAGCAACCATCAAGAGCTCATCAAATAAATCTGAATGGCCTGGCCATCAATTGTGCAGATGTTCGGATAGCCTATCGGTACCGGTGTACCGGCACGTGGTACCGGTACATTAGAGAAGGGAGGGAAGTTTGCCCGAAACGGAATGTTCCTTGGACATGGAACACAGATTCGTATGTTAAGTTAATTGGTCTTGATGTTTTGACGAACCTCTTTGATAGAAACCAGGGCACCACTTTATTAAACACTGAAACGCCTTTTTCAAACCATCGATGTTCGCAAAAGCAGTACTCTCCTTATTCAACAGTTCCCTCACAGAACAGTGTCCTTGGAAGCATTCCGCTTCCGGTTCCTCTCAAGTCTCAAGCTCTCAAGTTTCTGGAGATGGCAACCAATGCTTCTCTTCTCGCTTCTCGCAGCACGAGCACTGAAAGCCGAAACCGGTATCCGATGGCATGGAGAGAGCAGAAGCCAAGTCAAGAGCTTGTCAAAAGAAAACTGAAGCTGCTCACAATTCCAACTCAGCTCCGGTCAAAAAAGGAAACACGAAGAAAACCAAACCTTGCACCATTTCGTCACCATGTCCGTTACTCTTGACCTTGGAAATGATGATATCCTTGCGCTGCTCGACAGGGAAATCCAAAGAGGGTATTCTCGACGAACACCCATTACAAAAATCCAGATCGAATGTTCGAGCGCCGAGTTCTGGATTGGAATGGGAGATTCTCTCACGGAGAATGATTTGATCCTGATCTTTCAAAAAGTTGGTCGCGCTTTTCCTTCCTTACAGGAGGTTGCCATGAAGGTATTCGAATTGCCTCTCCCAGTCATTGCCTTGGATGCCTTGCTTCGGTTGACCAAAGATACCCTCCAGGTGATTGATCTGGTTGATGTCGTCCTCAAGGGGACCCAGCACGAGCTCGAGAGTCTTGCCAGAACGTTCGAAGGACACCCTTCTTTGCAAAAGATTCACCTAGACTGGTGCCTACCTATAGTTGGCAGCCTTGACGCTGTCTTTGGCAATCTCTCCACCATTCGCAAATTGTCGCATGTGAAGATTTGCGGGGCCGCCATCTCCACAGAGAGGCTTCGCGTTCTTTGCAGCAAACCCAGTCTCAAATGCATCAGCTTTCTGGATGATCATATTGAAGACGATGGCATCATGGCCATGGCAGAATCACTTGATACAAACGAAAATGTTCGAGAACTGAGTATTCGGCTCTGCGGGCTGCATCCCTCCACCGGAGAAAGCTTTGCCCGAAGCCTTCGGGCCAACGAGAGTCTAGAAGCTCTGGAAGTCCGCATCAAGGACAGTGACTGGAACGCATACGGCCAATCCTTTACCAACGCAATTCAACAAAACAAATCCCTCTCCAGTCTTACTGTCTTCGTCGACGGCAATGACATCCAGGTTACTCCCACTGTCAAACAGTTGACAGGAGCACTTTATGGGCACCCCTCGCTGAAATCTGTCCGCTTTGGCCTACGAGGGGCACAGACCAATGGAGTCCCCCGATTGATTGCTGAGACCTTTGTGGGTCCACTTCGAACTGTCCTGGAAACCAATACAATCCTGGAGGATGTTCAGATTGATGGAATGATGGAAAGCCCAGGACTGCCCTTAGACATAACCTTCCTCTTGAAAGCCAACCGAGCAGGACGCGACAAGCTTCTGAAGAATCCTGCTGACCATGATCTCTGGATTGAAACACTCATTGCAAACTCTGCAGATGTCGGGTTCACACAGTACTTGCTCAACATGAATCCCTCCATCTGCCCAGTGCCTCCTCCCACTGCGCTATATTACGAGGTTTAGAAAATTCCTGTATTATACTAGCCACATGTTTTTGAATCATTACTCTAATATCAGCGCATCACTTCAAATAAGATACAGCCTTTGAAGGAGCTCTCTGATTTCTTCCTTGTAGGCTGGTTTCAAGCTTCAGTTTGCGTTTCGCGGTGGATACGCAAGCGCAATCGTTCCGGCAAGCCTCAGTCCCTTCATGAAATAGTATCCTCCTTCGTTGTTTCATATTGTAGGGGAACTGGAGTGCCACACAAGCACCATATCAGAAAGATGAAACTACCTGGACAGCTGGACAGCTGGCAAGTTATCAGAAAACTGCCTGGAATGTTCCGTGGAAGCAATGGAGAGAGAGACAATAGCTATGACCCCCACAGCCTTTGATCCCAACCATCGATCGCTGCAGTCAGTCACTCGTCAACCCATCCGAGACCAACTCCCGCGGAGAGCTTCCGAAGAACGGTTTCTGTGAGCCAGGGTACAGTCGTACTAGTATGGGGTAACGTTTTGACCCAGGAACTCATTGTTTCTCTTTCACGAGTAATATACGCACAAAGGTGTATTAGTTCTAATATAATTAAATATAGATACGCACAGATACGCATTAATTGTATCAGTAGATGTGTTGATGATTGATGATGTACCTGTTGTTGATTTGATCATGATTGCCCAAACCCCCGAAGGAAAAACATCGGAGCTCGATACAGCACAGAAGTCTTTGTTCTCGCTTCTGCTTTTGCCGCTTCTCCTTCTATCGTTCATAAAGCGTAAAAGATCCTCCCTACTCCCACAGACAGTAACAGAGAGAACAGAAGGAGAAGAATGGTTTCGGTCCCACACCCCACACCAACTACAGAAGGTGGCATGAGTTTATCCTCCATGTTGCTTTGGCCACTTCATCGGAGCTTCGAAGTAGTCCAAGATCACCGAGCAAGTACGTCCAAGATATCCTTCGTTGGGCTCAAATTCC